AAATGTATACACGACAATTTTTACATTTTAAATTAAATTATGTAAACTTTTCTATGAACAAATTATAATTTTATCGCAATTTACATAATTTGACGTGAAAAGTGCGCTCAAAGAGCTCTAAACTGAATAAATTCAATTTTTAAATGAACAAGCTTTTTATGTACAAAATTTATCGAACATAATTTTGATGTAAAAAATTTTTTGAACGCACTCTTGACGCGAAAAATTAGTAAACATACTCTTGATGCGAAACATTAGTAAACGCACTTTTGAAGCAAAACATTTTCTGAACACACTCTTGATGCGAAAAATCACTAAATGCACTTTTGAAGCAGGCAATTTTCTGAACGTACTTTTTACACAAAAAAATTACTGAATGATGTTAAATTCAACTGAATTCATTTCTGAACCAAGAAATCTTTCTTTGAGTTCCCTCTTAACAAATTTCATTCTCAGAAATCTCCCAGCAATACATGTTATTGCATAATGAATACCATAATATAAAGCTTTATTGCATAAAATCTTTCAATGTTGCTTCATGCCAGCAAAATATTAATTAACCCATGTACACATTTCATTAGAACTTTTCCATCAACCCACACACGTTCGCCTGAAGAGCTTCTCAATGGCGAAAGCACAATAATTATTTGTAAACAATATTTGAATTTTATTCGTGCTCAATGAGTGTGAAGTTTGATGGAAAATATAGTATTTATGCAGGTTTGAATCGTGAAGAGTTATGAAGTGAAAGTTCATTCGCTTTAATTGCATCCATTCATAGAAATTGCAGCTGTTTTCTTTGAATAATGTTTTAATTGCGAGAAAATATTTATAGAAGTTCTTCATCATGCAAGCGTTTTGAAATCTTAGCCATTCATTAATGTTAGATCAATATTAAAGCTCGATGATATCAAAAATATTCACAATTTTTCGTATTTAATCGTCAAATATCAATAAGTAAGTAAGTAATCATCAAACATCCAATCCTATCAACAAATTCAACACCCAAATGAGCAGCTTAATGAATCAGCATTTTAATGACAAACATTATTGTTAACAATAATGTCCAAACAATAAATGAATATAATTAATGAATTGTAAGCATAAATTATAATCCGAATTCTCGATTGTTTGTATGCGACTCGGTTTATAATTAATTTACACATCATAAACATAAACTGGATTAATTTTCAATATGAATAAGTTTGATTTGTGGGACTTCTAATGAAGATAATACTTAAAAATACATAAAACTTAGTATCAATGGTATTGATTGATGAGATTTGATCATTATCAATAATTTATTGATTTTGGTAGGGTTGGGAATTCTGTTGTCAATGTTAAGAGCAGATTACAAATAGATATTGAAGATTTAACACCAACCAAGCCAAACTTAAGCGAAATTTCGACTTGACATGAACGAAAAATGTTTTTTAACCAAAAATATCTAACCTTGATATCCAGAACACTTTTATTGAATTCTTAGGATCAAGTTCTAGAATAATTCAAATTCAAGTGTTCCAAAAACAAATGAAAAATCTATATCAGTGTTGCATTCTGGCTATTTGTCTGGATCAGATAAATTCTGAGACAGAAATTTCTTCATAAAATCGATTCTACATGTAGAAAGAAAAAAACCATCTACATGTAGATTGTGTCTACATGTAGAATCTGTCTACATGTAGAATCTGTCTACATGTAGATTTAATGTAGATGTCTACGATTCTACATTCTTCTCTGATGTAGACCTGGAAAAAATGTAGAATTATAGAAATCTACATCGAATCTACATGTAGACAGATTCTACATGTAGACACAATCTACATGTAGATGGTTTTTTTCTTTCTACATGTAGAATCGATCTTTATGAAGAAAGTTTCTTAGCTAGACAAAAACTATTGAAGAATCTACATTCTTCATCTAGTGTAGACATCTACATTTGCAACACTGATCTATATACATTCCCAATAGAAAAAGCTCAGATTCTCAAGTCAATTTTGAGCTTGTTTACCATAAAACTTCAAAATTAATCTACAAAATCAAATCAATTCCTAGATCACAAACTTAAATGTCATAAATTGACACATTTGTCTTAATAAATATATCAAAAATCACAATTTCATTTTGTAGACACAAAAAGATATAAATGTGAGATATGATGATAAAAAATGTAGAAAAATAATAAATAATGCAGAAAGGACAACGGAGATGGGAAGCAGGAGTGTTGGAATGTACACAGAAATGATATATAATAAACATACATCAACATATGTAGGCTATTTTCTTCTGGAATAGATAGATTGAGCATTTCCACGAGATTTATGGAGATTAGAATCTTCATGTTTGTATAATGACGTCAGTCAAGTCAACATAAATAAATAATTCAATAATAAAAATGATAATGGATGTTAAAAAGCATGAATTTTAATGGATATTTTTACTAAAATTGAAGAACCATTTTGAATATTAAAGTAGCTTAAACTGGCTGTATCATTAATGTTGTAAAGGTCATGATTAAAACTTTAGTTTTAGATTTCCTATTATGATATCAAGTTTCAACACAATAATTTACGTAATAACGATTTTTGAGTCATAATTTGTAAAAAATTATGAAAGATAAAGTGTAATAAAAATAAAAGTTTAATGTTTGTTGGGGCTGTAGCTTGTCAAGGTATGTTTTTAGATCTGGAAGGAATGTTAAGTATCATGATTTTATATGACCGAAAATTTTAACATCGTAAAGTCTTGAAAAGGGTCTGAGATTGTCTAGTATAGTGGTTATTAAATGCTGTACTCTATTGTGTGTCTTTTTTTAAGCTTTAAGGAAAGACTTATCAAGTTTTACATTCCTAAGCAGAAGCGCCACGAGCAAATGACAATTTTTTTAAATCCTTGCTGCAATACTTTGCTCATTGCTTTTGAAAAGCACAAATCTAATATATAATCACATGGAATACTAGCCAACTTGAAATCAAATCTAAAATTGACTTGCCTTTCGCATTCGCAAATCATCTTATCCAAAAATAGGCATTTCAGAAATATTTCCTTATTAAACTTTAGAATCAACTCATTTACTCTTGTTACAGTTCTATAATCTTCCAAAAATATTCTAGTCAAGTCTCCACGAAAAGCACATGCAATTTCATGAAGCTTACAAAATTGTATGACATCTCATTTTAACTGCTCATATAAGCATAAACTCCACCCGTAAAACTAAAGCCTCTTTTACAAATATTGTCATACTTGACATGATTCTCAAACAGGAACATTAAACCTTGAACTTTATATTTTTAGATGCCATTTTATTACGTAATCACCATAGACACTCAAAAGTCTAAGTTTCCAACTTTGTTTTCAATTCCTCTCAATCATCACACAAGATATTTTCCTTCCTAATCCCCATCGAAATCTTGGATACCATAAATAAAATATTCTCGTCAAGTGCCAAAAAAACAATCAATCTTGATCATTTCAAAGTTTTTCCTCTTAGCTCGTCCTTGTTCTATCTTATTTTCCGTGTGCCTTATTTCTCGTGACTTTTCCATTTGAGTTAAAAACTCAAACAATATTTGCTCTATATCTGTGATTTCAAATTGGTTACGCTATGTGGAGTGGAGTGTGCTGCTGCTCACATTTATTTGAGTCATGGTTGCGATCATTAACGTTGTTTTTCACAAAACGAGCTGGATTTGTTATCTGTCTGTATGCTTGTATGGTGGATTCATGATTTTGAGCTTAAAAATTCGCTTTCAGAACTAAATAGATGATGGTAAGGAATCGAATGTTGTATTTACTAAATTTAAATAATCATTTAGTGACTTAACAAAGAGGATGTGATTTAAGATTGTGAAATTGGTTTTTATAACCAACTTTGTACAGTCTTTGGTATTATTGTTGATGTAATTTAACCTGGGAACCTCAAACATTAGATCCTACGTAAAAAAAATCGTACAATTTAAATACAATGGAGCTCGGCAACATAAAGTACAAAAACTGACCTTTAATTTCTAAAATTAAATGCTTTACGACCCACTGAGTATGCAAACATTAAATTTGTTTACTGTTTAAAATGCTTTAATTCTATTAGCATCTTTATTCCTTAAGGCTTTATGGCAGGCAAAAGGGATCACTTATCTCATTAGCAAAAGATACAATGCTCTCATCAAGATGCCATAAGGATGTTTCATCATGAAAAAGGTGTCTTTCTTAATTAGATTCTCGACTTGTTTGAAAATTTCTAAAATTTCACCCAAAAGACTTTCATCATAAAAATTCAATTTACGCCTACATTTAAGTCACAAAAAGAATAACTTTAAATTTCCACAAAAAAAATAGAAATTACTTTTGGTCATTTGGGGAATCAAAAGAAATGACGATTTATGTTTACGTAAGACCAAGCAACAAGAATTTGTGTACCAAAAGCAAATATTTGTCAGATAAATTTCACTTTCTTTTGGGCCATTTTCATGATGTTGTCAAAATATCAAACTTGGTTTCTAGATATAAACTGTCATTAGCTGTGCTTTAAGTAGGATTGTCAGATGTTTGATTTTAATGGAGCAACAAAATGTTTGTGTAGGCAAATGTTAATGTGTTGGCATAAGTATTAAGTTATTTTGGTATCACTGGGGAAACATTTGGTTAATCGTTATGGAAATAAATGTTACTAAAGCTTTTAGAGTCACTTTGAAAGGCATTGAATCACTGACTGATTGAAGAAGACTTAATTGTTAAAATTAAATTGTCCATAAAACTTTATATCACTAATGAATTCTTCAAAAAATACCAAACTTATCAGTCACACGTTTCAATACAATAATCAATCCTTATAGTGAGACACAACAACAGTGAATCATTCGTGTTGAATTTGATTTAGTCTGATAAGCTTTAAAATGGATTAAAAATTCTTAAATGAATCACAAAACACCTGAACCGAAAAACCATTGATAAAATACTAAAGAAAACCACTTGCGTATAAAGATAACACTTGAGAGTCTCTTGATGCTTCTTATCGTGATTTTCAAGCTGTATATATACAATTGAATTTTTATTTTCAACATCAGTCAAACTTTAAAGCTCAAATTGAAGACAAGACAAAAACAATGAAATTAACAGTTGCAATTTTCACATTCCTCGCTGCCATTGCTGCCATCAAAGCAAATCCAATTTCAATTAATGAAAATAATGTTGGAGATATTGTAACAGTTGGTGTCAATGCAAATGCAAACCTCTCAAGTGACATTAATGTGAACGTCATTACCGCTCTACTTGCTCTCGTAAATCAACAAGCCGCAATCATCAACCCTCAAGCTGATGGAAGTGTTCCACAAACGCCTGATTTATCAAGCTTCATTTCACCTGAATTTCTCAATGAAGTTAAAAACATCAAAATCACACCTGAAATGATCGATGGATTGAAAAAGTTGATAAATTGAAATTTTTTCCGACGGATGTTGTTGGTGTCATGAGATGATAGACTGGACGATTTAAAGAGTTTTAGATGTAAAAATTTTTAATTAAAATACTTAACTTTTGAATAAAGACTTAAAGTTTTGAAAACACAATAGAAATTTGGATTAATTTGAAAAAGCTATGTTTGGTGTCATGTTTTAAAGCTGGTAATTTTTGTGGCTAAATCAGATAGCTGTATCTTTTGAATAAGGAATCTTTTGTAACCAAGTTTACAAGGGTGTGGAACTGAAAAATTACATTTTGATCATTTTTGATCAATTCTGATCATTTTTGATCATTTTTAATCATTTTTGATCATTTCATCAGTACCACACCCTTGCAAGTTTACTGTAAAACACATCCCCAATATAGATAAATTGCTCGATTTCGATCAATGCTTTCAATTCTTTAACGCATTACTTATGCTAAGTTACTAAGCATAAATAAACAAATTTTGCTGAGTTGTTTTCATTATCAGCAATACATTGTACCAAATAACGCCTACAATTGCATGACTCATAACAAATCAACATCTTTTCATCAAATAAAATTCATTTTCTCCTGAATCAAAACAAATTACTCTGAATGAATGAATTTATTTTGTGCTTTAATTGATTTTGTATCTAGGTAGCTTCTGAATGTTTCGTTTATGAACGGATAGGCAGAGGATGGAATATTATATAAATGTCAAAATGACTTTTCTTGCTTTTATTTCATGGCTTTAAGGTCATTTTATAAATGATGTAATAGCTTGCGGACGATAAAGCAAACTAGAGCAAGAAATCACGAAAGTAAGAGTTATTAAAGGCATTTGGCGTTATAATTGAAAAATTCACGACAGCTCAGTAGAAGATTCATGAGATCAAAATTGCTGAAACCTAAGTTCAAGTCCTACTTGGTATCTATTACTCGAAATTAAACTGATTTCTGTTAATTTATCACTTAAACAGTCACATCCTTACTTATTGATGATCTAAAACGCTTGATACCACTCCAGACGACTCCTTCCTCCTTTTAATGGCTAGACATCATAAGTGAATAATTCCCACAACCTACATAATTGAAAACAATCCACTCAGCCTTTCCCTTATCAACGAACATAACAAAATCATCATCTTATTCCAACCACAAAGTGCTCATTTCAATTAGACAGAACAGATTGAATTAAAATTATTAAACGAGATGCTGCAGATAATTTTCCTCGTCTTCATTATAAGATGTCTGGTGATTCCGCAATAAAAAAAATCAAAAAGGAATTCAGCGTTCCTATTGTAAAGAAATTACTCTGTGTGGGAAGCTTTTGACAATAGAACTTGTTCTGCTCATTTTTAAATGGCAAACGACAGATAAATTTTTATTCATTCAGTTTTTATTAAAGGAAGTACGTGCTGAAAGTTTTCCCACACAAGAAAGGTTTACAACAGGATTACGAAGAGAAGAATAAGAAGACGAAGAAGACAACTATGACGCAGCAATAGAATTCAAGAATTTTCTTTCATCTCAAGGTGTTGTTGGGAATGCTCACGAACTTCAAATGGGGATTGTTCTTAAATGTCGTCTGCTAGGAACTTACTCATGGTCATTTATCAAATTAAATTGTTTTGGGCTTAAAGCCTCGTCCCTTTTCTGCTTTCTAGGTAAAGTCACATCATTGTTAAAATGACTCTTTGTAATGCTTCTCATTCTCTCATTCTCATGCCATAAGAGAAGAAAATCGACACTAGAATGGAGGAGAAAATGCTGATGAAAAAAATATCCTTGTAGAATATTAAATTGAAGGTGCAAAGCTCCCATAGAATCGAGAAATTTTGGTTTCTGGAATAAATTTGAATTGCAAATTAATAAGATGTTGGTGATTAATATCAGGTACTTAAAAACTTCTCAATTTTCATTAATAATAAAATCTTGATAAATTTGAAATTGAAACTTTGGAGAAAGGAATTTATTGAGGTTGTTTTTCAAAAGAGAATCTTTACCTTCATATTTTAAGTTTCTTGGTATTGTGAATGTATACAGAGCTTATGTTCTTCTTTAAAAATTCTTATTTTCATCTAAATATCTTCAATATTCATCTTTAAGAAGCTTTCAAGAAAAATAATTTGAGCTTTATCATTTGAGCTAGTTGAAGCTAGTATAAAAGTTTTATAGATGAAAATGGTGTAATGCATACGAACTAAAGTGCTCAATCATCATTTTCTCGCAGACAGTCACATTATCATTAAGCTTTTGCTTTTACTGAACTGAACAGATTTATTCTGGCTAATGATGTCATGTGTAATGGGTTGAACATCGAAGTAAACCGAAGGTCTTGTTGGAAACATTACATATTTGGTTCTTAACTTTTAGTAGCTAATGCTTCTTACTTAAAATAACGAATTAAACTCCTGATTCAAAATATAAAAATATTCAAGTTTAATTCCATCATTTAAAGTCCATAATCAAATTCCCCTCACGTAGTTCTTGCTTTTTTGCATCATTTCATTCATGCTCTGATTTTTACGAGTAGATTATAATCATATTCATGAACATTTGCATTTTTCTACGTAAATAGTTGACGTACATGCTTGTAAATGCATAATGTAAAATTAATGAGTTAAATAAAAATGAGAATTCCCATCGTAAATTCTATGTTATCAGCATTAAGCTTCATTAAAATGAACAGTGGATTAGGGAATTATAATGAATCACACTTTTAATTTCGTCACTCAATAGGATTACTCACTTTTGTTTCTTCTGATATCAAAAACTTGTTCTTAAGCCTCTTATCACGATTTTCAATTCATATAAATGCTCAGAAATTTACTTTATTGTATCAGTCAAAATTTAAAGCTCCAATCAAATATATCAAAAAAATGAAATTAGCAATCGCAATTTTCACCATTGTCGCTGCATTTGCAGCCATCAACGCCAACCCAATTTCAGTCAGCAACAATAATGTTGGAGATATTGTCACAGTTGGAGTTAACGCAAATGTCCAGGCAACCAGCGACATAAATGTCAACATTATTACAGCAATTTTGGCTCTATTAAATCAACAAGCATTAATCGTTAGTCCACAAGCAGCTGGAGATGTTCAACCCGCAAGTTTAATTACACCAGAAGTGCTCAGTGAAGCTAAAAATTTGAAAATTACTCCTGAGATGATCGAGGGATTTAAGACGTTGTTGCAACAGTATCAAAAGTAATGGTTGATGGGGAAGTTGTGAGGAACTGAGGATTGAGAAGAAATTAATTGAATTTAAGCTATGAAATCATAATCCGACACATATTTTATTATTATACATTATTTAGACATGTTTTCTTATTTTAATCCATTAAAAGTATTCAATAATAAAAATTAGCTTTTGTGTGACTCAAAAAAATTATGGTTTGGTGATTATTTTTGATGGTTATTCAGAATAGGGTTTGATTTCTAAGGCTGTTTCCTAGAATTAAATGTTGATATTCTGTAAGGGTTTCTGGGTGGCCCTAGAATGGGCTTCAGTTGTGATCTTCGTCCTCCTTGAAGTATCATTTTTATCAATCTTTTTGGCTTATTCTCAATATTCCCATTTACGAGCATAACCAATGACTAAGGGGTTATTATTTGGGAAAAATCTCTGCTGAACTTGATAAGACGTCAAAATATCCTGATCTGTTTATGACTCATTGAAAAAATTGAAGATCTTTCGCAAATGTACATTGTGCACAAAATCCATCAATCATCCAACACTTCCCAACAAAAAAAAAATGCGAAAACCGTGTAACGAGTACGATTATTGCGATAAAAAATAGAAAACTTTGTAGTTCACACGATTGCAAACAAATGACTTTGCGGAGATTCTGTTCTCGTCCCTTTTACAACCCCAACAACAACAGTAATAATGTATATGCTGCACATGTAGCACGTTTCGTGTAATTTAATATTCTAAATATATATCAATGTACACTACATAAATATTTCATGCATCGTATAGATAACGATCATAGTGATGAACCATACACAATTTTTTACTTCTTTTACTCCTGAAAATAAAAGAAAAAGTATTCGTTAAAGACTTTATGTCGTTGCATATGTCTTTCCTCAAGCGTAGGAAGAAGAGTTCTTTTTATGGAAATTCATGTCATGCTTTCCATTATCAGCGCTGAATTTCATTTCAATGCACACTTAATAACGATTCTAAATTAAGATATAAAGTCTTATGAAAATATGTTCAAGAACAAATATTTTTTTATGTTTCCTTTGAGATGTGCGTAATGGCAATAAATTTATGTAGGAACTGGGAAAATGTGAAGAACATTGTTAAAGTTTTTTTGGATTCATTTGAATTTTCTCTTGCCTATGTTTTCAATATTCAAAGTTAAGTAATAAATTTATAAATTTTTAAATCTTCAAAAAATCGATTCTTTGATTTTATAAGCTTTTTACTTTTAGTGATATTAAATAACATCATTTTTTTTAAAAAAAAAGATATAATCTGGAAAAACCATGATTATATGAACTGAATTCAAAATTCCGTCCATTACTAGAATTTATCCAAAGCAAAAAACTCAATTACTTCCTACTCTAAATTATTAATGAACGACACATTTTACGGTTAAAATTATGATAACTTGTCAAAATTATAAAGCTCTCAACAATGAATGAAACGTTTAATTCAAAAGTTACAAATTCTATAAATAACGCAATTCAAATTATTAATTAATTTTCAAATAAGTTTGATTTGATGTGTAAATAAAATCTATTTTCGGAATAATTGAAATATTGATTGTTAACTCTCAGCAGGTTGAGAAAACAACCCTCTGGATAATTTATATCATAAAACAATATTATTGCGTCTTCTTTACAATTTCTCATGAATTCTTGAGTTTTTTTTTGTTGGTGAATGAAAGCTTTAAAGGTTATTAATAATTTATAAAGTTCAGAGTTATTATTTTACAAATTAATGAGCCCATTGCCAAATTATCATCCAAACACATACGATTTCTTCTTAAATTTACCTTTCCACATGTGTTTAATTCCCCAACTTCCACCACCTTCAATCTTTAACAAAAGATACTCAATAAACAACAGATTAGAAAAATGACCACAATTTCTTCTTTTAACAGCACCGAAGTCAAATCTCATTGATAATTTATGGGATCATTAACATCAATAAAACGACTAATTAAGCAATTTATACGATAATACTTAATCTCCATTTCCTCGTAATTTGATTGAAGAAAACAAATCTGCGAAGCATGTCTATATCCACATGTCTGATAGAAAATAAAATCAATGATATTTAAAATCGATTTGAGATGAGCTTTACAAAAATAAATTCTATTGAATAAATGATGAATTTCAAAGATTTTCGTCTTATTGTTGAATACGGAATCAAGAACAATTGTAAATCAAATTATATTTCTGAAAAGCGGCTTGATTTATTGTTTCGAAAGCCCTTGAATTTGATGAATCATCTTTTAATTGGATTTTTTGTTTTTCAAATTTTCTGACTTTATCATAATTTATATTTTAGGGTTTGATGCGAGATCAGAGATTAATGTGAGTTTAATGGGATTTAAAAGTTGATTTTTGCTAGGAATTACAAGTCACAGCTGGTATTTTATTGTACATAGCTCTCATGAGTCATGAGATTTATTGACATTAAAACTTTAAAGTTCAATGTTGGGATTTGTTTCCTTTTAACAGGATTTTAAGCTCCTTTAGCTCAACACAGAAGCAATAAAAATGAAAAGTTTAAGAATTTTGCTTTTTCTTGGTTTTTCAACTTTTGATGATTTTGTTCCATTTCAAGATTTGGAAAAATTTTCTTCATACAATATGATGCAAAGTTCATACATTTATAATTTATGATCCTCATTTGTGTATGATTCAGTATGATTGCAAAGATTTTTAAGAAAATAACTTATTTCAACTAGGTTTGTTTTGATTATCAAAATCTATTCAAAATTTGCTACTAAAATTGTATTTATTATCAACTAAGATTTTTACACAAAAATCTACATCAAAGCTTTATATTGCATTTATTGTCAGTCTCAGACTTAATTCTTTGTTGACGACTGTATATTAGAAATCATCTTTTTTCATTGAATATCTAAATTCAACTGAAGTTTCAGTCAAAAAATTATTAAGTTCCAATTCATTAGAAATAAAAAATGAATTCTTATCAATTTTGAAAAGCTTGAATTTACAGTTTATAGCCTCAGTTAAGAAGCAATGTTGATAATGAACGATTATCACTTATCCACACCCATACAGCTTAAAGGAGATTAATTTATTTTATATTATGTCAATACAGAGTAATTACTAGGTTTAGACAGAAGTTATACAATAAGTTTCTCTACTCTAATAAGTTACATATTATTAAACAAGCAAGATGAACTTGATCAAAAATCAATCTGATTCGTTTAAATGTTTGAGAATTTTTGAAACTTACTCGTGGTAAAAATATAAAAATAATCAAGAAATGGATCAAATCTGAAAATTTAAGTTCAAACTAGTTCAAAATAAAACAATTCTACATATTAAATTTAATCTGTTATCTAAGTTAGTTTATTGTCAAACTAAGGTTAAGTTACCTTGGGTAATTCTCATAAAAATTTTATCTTATCACTTCTAGAGCTAGACGATTCGAGAAGAAAGTGCCAATAAACTCTTTTGAATTGGAGGTTCAAAATTGAAGACTTGTTCTTTGTTGCAATAGCAATTTTTTGATTAAATTTCAAAAAATAATGATTTCCTTTATTAATAAATTTAATAAATTTTAATTAGATTCAAACTTACGTCCTCATTAAAGATAGATCTAAGTGTTCAGTTATTTAATCTCAAAATTTACATATTGACAATTTCGATGCTTAAATATCATGAACTATAAAATCTGAAAACTAGTTTCAATCTATTTTAATGCCAAGAGTCTTTAATCTATTTAACTCTATCAACATGCTTCTTTTTGTCTAATCATTTGCTAAATAAAGATTTTCATTGGCAGAAGCAAAATGTTCAAATATCCCGGTACACTTGAAAACCCTACTCCAAACAGTAATTGCTGATAATGATAATATAGCAATTACTCAATAGACGATTGTTCTCTTGCGTGTCATCGGAGAATTGTGAGAAATCATTAAATAACTTACACATAATACTCACTTGTGCATTAATTTTTACTTAACAATTTATTTAAAATCTGACAATTTCCTTGTTAAATTTATTAAAAAATTCTTAAACTTTTTCACTTACTATAGTCAACTCAAAAGCACATTGTTTTGTGCAAATCATGCAATTTTCCATACTAATTCCATCACATTACTCACAGTAAACCACAAATTAATCTCAATAATTCTAGACTAATAATAATTTCTATCATTTTAGTTGCAGGCAATCCGAGCAGCTCCAACTCATCACCGCCATCTTATATATCTCAGTAATTGAAACAAAAGGGAAACAGCCATGATTAATATCGCTGGAGTCATCAGTATTACAATTTTTTATTTGCTTATTCTGGTTGTTGGAATTTGGGCAGGACGTAAAAAGGCAGAAGGAAATGATTCGGAAGAGGAAGTTATGCTTGCGGGACGCTCCATTGGTCTGTTTGTGGGAATATTCACAATGACAGGTAAGAGATGAAGAACATGTAGACAAAATGTACAGAAGAAGATGGTTTGAAGCAGAGTTAGAAGTTTTTGGGTTTTCGGATGTGAAATTTGTTGGAGTTAAGTAATAAATTATAGAAAGTATTAGCTTTTGGAAGTTATTGTGACACCCAACTTCATTACAGTCAAATTTTGTGAACAAATACATCGAAATCAATGTACTAGTGAAGCTTCCTACTGGTAACCTTAGAAGGAAATAGGCAAAACCATCAAAACCCAATTACCATTCCTGCAATACCCAAAACTTCAATTCCATCGTGAAAACCATTTTCTTCTCATTTTTATATATCAAAAATTATCATACAAAATTAATTTAAGAGCATTGTTATGGAATAATACATACAAAATTGGAATTGTCATTGCTGATAATTTCCATAAACTTGCTATAAAACATTTTATGTACTTAATAGCTTTTGCATCATACATACATGTGTATATGAGAATGATAGCTATGTACACATACATACATGAGCTTGAACGTAGAACAAATTTTACGTCACAGATGTTAATATCCTTCACACTGTGCTGTATATCTCACGTACATTTTTATTCTTTTTTGTCTTGCAGCAACGTGGGTCGGTGGAGGCTACATAAACGGTACAGCAGAAGCCATTTACACCAATGGATTGGTATGGTGTCAAGCACCATTTGGATATGCATTAAGTTTAGTGTTTGGTAAGTTTCTCAACAAATTATTTGAAAAAAGTTTGTCGTACTGCTCGTACTGCTCAAAAATCCACAGACAGCATAAAGCATAAATTCACATAACTTTTAAGATCCAAAATAAGCTCTAATAAATTATCCAGTTTGTGGTGTCGTGTCTCGACGAAAGTAAGCACATCGCATCATAAATCATTGCAGCATATCGTCGCATTTCACTCAGCCATCCATATTTCACAGTAATCTGATAATCTTCAAGCATTCCTGACTCCCATGAGTGGAATAAGATTGTCTTCAACATTTAAACGAATCCCGAAAATTAAATTGAATTTATTTTCGTGTGGTTGTTGAAAGGTTGGAGAATATAGACGAAAAGGCATTGAAACATTGTCTTGAACAGAACTTGTTGTAATCAGGAAGCTTAATTTTATAGAAAAATGCTGAACTTGAGATGAATTTTAAAGTTCATTAATTTTGAAATGGATATGAAAATTGCATGTGCTTCTCAAAAATCTCAAACTCAATGCTGTTTATAAGATTATCCACAATCCAAAGCGTTTTCCACTCCAAAATCCTTTAAAAACATCCTCGAATGTGGAAACAATGCAGATGAAATTTATTTCTGTCTCAAAACTTAATCTCCATTTCAAATCCATTTAAAATTGATATTTTTCTTATTCCTAAACAGGCGGAATGTTCTTTGCAAATCCAATGCGAAAGCAAGGTTACGTGACGATGTTGGATCCTTTGCAAGACAGCTTTGGTGAGCGTATGGGTGGCTTGCTATTTTTACCCGCATTATGTGGTGAAGTGTTTTGGGCAGCTGGCATATTAGCAGCATTGGGTAAGTTTTGGATGTCAAATAATGGAAGAAGTTATGACATTAATTGATAATTGTTTGACAGGCGCCACATTAGCTGTAATTATTGACATGGAGAAGGAGACATCTGTCATCTTCTCAGCATGCATTGCTGTCTTTTACACGCTTTTCGGTGGTCTATATTCGGTAGCTTATACTGACGTCATACAGCTGTTCTGTATTTTTATTGGATTATGGATGTGCATACCATTTGCATGGACGAATGACCATGTAAAGCCTTTATCAGGCATGGAGGTCGATTGGATTGGTGAGATTGGCGAAAAGAAGTTTTGGTTCTATTGCGATTATGGATTGCTGCTTATCTTTGGTGGCATACCATGGCAGGTAAATAAAAAGTTGTCAATTTAGTGCCTAATTCTTATTCTATATGACATCACATATTTTATTTAAGGTTTACTTCCAAAGAGTTTTGTCGAGTAAAACAGCAGGACGTGCACAAATCTTATCATATGTTGCAGCATTTGGATGTCTCCTCATGGCAATTCCACCCGTTCTTATCGGAGCAATTGCTAAAGCAACACGTAAGACAGTAACTTTTCTCATGAGATTAATTTTATTTTAATAATATCCTTTCAGCATGGAATGAGACTGACTATCCTGGTCCATGGCCATTAACTGCAGAAGAGACAAGCATGATCCTTCCAATGGTATTACAATATCTTACTCCCGATTTCGTATCATTCTTCGGATTGGGTGCTGTATCAGCCGCTGTAATGTCTTCAGCCGATTCATCAGTATTATCAGCAGCATCAATGTTTGCTCGCAATGTATACAAACTTGTTTTTAGACCACATGCAGCTGAGATGGAAATTATTTGGGTTATGAGAGGTGGAATTATCGTTGTTGGAATTTTAGCTACCGTCATGGCACTCACAATTCCTTCAATTTATGGATTATGGTATATTTGATGAATACTTATTGAGAATATGTTTGTATGATCATATAAAATCATATTTACAGGTCCATGTGCTCCGATCTTGTTTATGTCATCTTATTTCCACAGGTAAGTGTACTTCTCATCTTGTTATATTTAGCATTAAGGAGACTCGGATGTGTTTTTCATTTTCTGATCTTGTCATTGATGTGCGTATATTGAATTTTACATGTATACAAGTAAAAAACTAGAGCTGTAAGGTTTAGAGCGCATTTGGGGCTTTGTACTTGTGAGTTTATGATCTAGGTCATTGATGGACCTGGATGGACCTTCTTTTGAGTATACTTCATTGTTCAAATGTTTATGGCCGCACATAATCATATTCCGTCATACTTTTATACCGTGACACGCAGCTTGACGACCACTGAATTCTAGGCTATGGTTTTAGGTCGACAACTTATTTGGTGTCATTATAAATAATATTCTTAGGAGAATTTGAGTCTAGTCAGAAGCATGTCAAAAACTTCCGAATTGTGGCTAAGTTCATGACTTTATATATATTAATTCTGTAGAATTTGTAGATTAAGTATTAAGGGTTCGTATTGGTGGATGTAAATGAACATCATACAACTGGCTCTCAATTCAATCAACCTATCGATACGATACTATCCTTAAAAAGCTTCAATTTTCCCCATTTTCGAACCTATTGATATACATTATTGAAGCTATCATTCTATTTTTCATGATAAATTGCCATTTCATCGAAAAACTGTTTAATATAGTCCCTCTGGGAATGTCAGCCTCTTTCAAACAAAAATAACATAAACGCATCATTTTCCATTCAAGTTGAGTCGAAGCTCCATCTAACATGACAGCTTTAATTTTCATTCTTTAAGGAAAATGACTTGAGGAAGTTGAAAAGAATATGGACGGTCTTCATTATTATGTCTTTATATAATAAGAAATGATAATACAGGGAAACTTTTTCAATTAATGTTGTCATTTAAAATTGTCTTTCTGTTTCCAGCTTCTTATGGTTGTTCATTTTAAACACCATTGTAATACTTACGGAAGCTTATCAGCGTACTTGATCGCATTTTTCGTACGATTATCTGGTGGTGAACCAATTCTCGGTCTACCAGCTGCAATTCATTTTCCCGGATATGATGAGGAAACTCAAGAGCAACTGTTTCCATTCCGCACAATGGCAATGTTGTTGAGCTTATTTACGTTAGCTGGAGTATCATGGCTATCAAAGTGAGTTTATTGTGAAAAATTAAATTTCAGCCCCAATGTAAAAATATTGATAATTTCCCTAGGTGGTTATTCCTGACAGGAAGACTTTCTCCTGAGTATGACTTATTTAGATGCGTAGTAAATGTGCCGGAAGATGTTCATCGAGTAGATGAGCCATCTGAAGTTGATGGGGAGCAGGTATGTAGCTTTGCAAGGTTAATCTCAATATATCGAACGATAACTTTCTATTTCTACCCCAAAAGATGAGTGTAATGGCAGGTGCAATGAGCAAAATGTACGGTGCAGCAACGATGGTTGGTAAGGATGAACGCAACGGTCGAATAAATCCAGCGCTAGAACCAGATGATGATTTACCAGCGATGGAAGCACAAAGACAAATGCAACAAATGGCAATGAGCAGTGCTGCCGCAGCCATAAGCAATGTTCAAGTCCCTGGTGGACATGGCACGACAGCATTTTAACAAAGAAACTAAGTCCAACGGACTCATTTCAACTGATTCAAAAAAAGAAGCAACTGATACATATCATAAAAAAAGTACTTAAAGATTTAAAAGAAACAGAAGAAGATGAAATATATACATAATGAAATGTTTAGTGATTATATATACATTATATTTATGCAAAGTAAATGATGAAAGTGAAACAATTCATATCAAATCATATACATATCAACTAATTTTAGGACGATTTTAATCAATTAAGAGACAAACTTTAAATTAGTAGATGTTATTTTAATTTAACTATGGAATTATGGGGATATTTAATATGTTTTTTGGGAGATGAGTAGCATGGATGTGAATTATATTCAAGGTTTGTAGCTAGTTTGAGGAACTAAATTGTGGTTAAATGAGTTTCATTGCCAATTATGAGGCAGATACGAGTTTTGAAGTTTAAAGATTAACAGAATGAATTTTTTAAGAGCTATAATACCTTTATACTCTAAATTGAAGTTGCATAGGGCAATTCTTCCTGTTGCATTGCCAATAAATGTCTCATCTGGTTCTTCCCATTTGATTGGAACTTTAACTCAAACTGGATTCTTGGTTTTAACATATCTGGCCTACTATCAAGACGGACTGTGAGTTAAGATTTGTAAAACGAATGTTTTAAGGATAAGTAAACAAATTATAAAGGTAAACAAATGAATAATGTAGGCTAGAATATTTGAAACAAATTAATACCTGAACGATTTCACAGTTTTTTCAAAGATTGATTTAAACTTACAATCTGTTTCAATTCTTGCTTACTTTAAATTGAAATTTAAAGTATATAGAATTAAAGAATTAGCGAGGAATCATGTTTGATGATATTTTAGTAATCAGATCGGTGAAAAGGCTATTTTTAAGCTAGATTTAACCTTAGTATCCATAATCGTCCATATGAAAAGCATTGAGTTCCTAAGGAAGGTCAATGTAACACATATGGTCGATTTTGATTACTAGGGAAGCTAGTCTGTGTAAATTTAGCATAGTTTTGAGGTTGCCTAATACTAACCTTATAATTATTAGATTAAAAGGATCATCTAAGTATGTACATCTGAAGTTATTTGAGGATTAAAAAATAAATTCAGTTCCTCTAAAAATGTCTACAAATTGATTATAATTCTTGTTCAATTTATCTCCTTATTAATGACTCTAATCGTATTAAAAGCAAATTTGTGGCTTCTCTGAATTAGACTTTAGGTTTGAAATTTGATCAGTTTGAGATCATTTTCTTAATTTTGATTGAATTTCATTAGTTTTACAGTCAATTGAAGTCGATTTGATTTAATATCACCTGACTTTGACCTTTTATTCAAATATTAGCACTGTTTATAAAGCTATTGCCAGTTGCTGATAATTTTAATAATTAAAGTAATAACCTTGCTCTATTAAAGATTGTATAAAAATTAACAAAACATACTAGAATCTTCAAATTTGAACCTCAATTCAGGTGTTAAGGTCAATACAGAACTGTTGTGAATTTATTATTCCCAATCTTAAAGTAAATCCCAAGAAAACTTAAGATTCAATCGTCAATTTCAGAGAAGCAACAAAATAATTATGTTAATGAATAATCTAAAAATCAAAGGTACATAAAAGTATTGAAAAGAAAGGCAAGCAAGCAAAGCAGAGCAAGATTACTAATTTAGACAAAATGTTTGCGTATTAAATTTATTAGAAGATTTTAAATTAGATGACAGCAGTAAAAAGTGAAAAAGCATATAAATATTAAAATAATACTGAAGAGAAATCGACAGATGAACCTGCCGTTAAAAAAAGTAGCATATAAAATTATTGATTTGTTGTTGGCTAATTGTAATTCTATCGACTGTTCAAATAATGAAGTAACAAAATACAAAAAATATTTCTTTTGTTCATTCATATCTGTTTTTCAACCCGGAAGCCATTGAGTTACAACATTTTGAACTTTTGTTCCATTTACTGAATGAAAAGGTTTATTTCACTCACATGATTCAACCCACAGACCTACAGCAATATGATACGAATTTTTAAATAAACAAAAATCCCATGCAAATGTCTTATTTTTTATTAATCTTTAATGCGAAAGCAGGGATGTATTTAAGTGAGAGCCAATTGAGCCAATTTGAGATTAGATTCTTGATTTAACCTACATCTCCTCCTGTATCTAGATGCAGAAGAAGTTTTATTTGAGTAAAACCTACAACCTACAACCTACAACCTAGTGAACAAAGAATAAAGCTAGTGCTTGATAGCATAAAGAATTAAGCTCAGATCTAGATTTTTGTGGATTAGAGCTAAAATCATACTTTTGGATGGTGAACATGGCTCAAATCTACTTCAAGTTCTGCTCGAAGGTACTGCTAGGATCACGATACATAAGTACAAAACTAATGAATCAATGGTTGGTCATTTTCAATCATTCTTGTTCATTATGATCAGTTCCTCTTGACAGGATATTAGTAAGAGCACTACAAGACATCCCCTGTTGCAAGATGAATACGATATTCGATTATAAAGAATAAATGACGGAAATATTTTGCATGCAAAAGTTATTTTATTGTTACATGTTTTATTTCAAATCTTTGAAGCAGAAAATGTTTAATTATAAAACAAATACCAAGAAAATGTGACGCGAGAGTGCAATTGAAACGGTGCTAATCACTTAATATGAGATGAGAAGAATAAAAGGAGGAAAATGAAACATAAATGGGAAAATAAGAAACTAGACGCTTAAATTAGATTAAAGCTGTATGAAATAGTAATAAAGGACAGAAAGGAATGCATAATGAATTAATGAGATAATTACTAGCTGAATAAGTTGAAATTAAAATTAGATTAAAGAACTAAAGTCTGAACTTTGCTAATTTGTATTTAAATTCTTACTATATATCTCCTAAGGATTCAGACTTGATGAATTAAATTTTAATCATTTTTGATAAGTTTGACAACCTTGATCTGAGAGTTTCTATCGTTTTTCAGACTTTTAACTTAATTTTGTGGCTTTATCAAAACCACAATCAGCTACATAATGTCAGATTCGTCAATAAAATCTTCTGACATTTGCAAAAAAAATGATTTCAATAGCAAATGCCGTTTTCGAATACAAAATATTCAAATTTCCACCCACATACAATTCAAAAGGACACAAAAATACCGAAAAAAAGTGAATTGAAACTTTTTATTCAACCTTAATTCCCATGAAAAAAGCTTTCAACATCCCACAATCTAATAAATAAATATTTTCCCATTAAAGTTTCATTTAATTCTTTGACAGCATGCAAGTGATTGTTATCAAATTTAATTTAAAGAAAATACCTCTTAATATGAATTATTAATGTTACACAAAGAGATGGATATGCTATTTACAATGCGAGTAAGAAGAGAAGAGATTATTATATAAATTTCAAGACAAATTAAGTTAATGTTGCTGCATATTTATAAAGTTATAAAGTAAAGAAGAGAATGTTCTTTTATGTATTAAAGCAGGAATAATTTAGGCTGAAAAAAAATCTTTATTTATTAAATTCTTATTTATACTTACCGTACAATTTGATTCTTTGACCAATCAGTTCTTTATTTAAGAGATATATTAGTAGCCATAATAATCGTTTTAATGCAGTGGATTAAAAAATATCGAAGAATAAAAAATATGTTTAACAAATGAAAGTTATAAAAGCTTTGAATAGAACTGATTTTTAGACAAATATTAGAAACAAAGTAAAGTTATAAATATATCCACGTAAAAGTCAAATTAAATGATGCAGAATGTCTGGGGATATGATGAGTTTTTGGGTCTAGTTTGAGGGATTATAAAGAGATTTAAAAGTAACTTGAATGTAGCTTAACAATCTACATTTTGAATTCTATTTTAAGTGTGATCAGCAATGATCAGAGCTTGTGAATAATCAGCTCTATTTTCCAAAGAGCAAAAGGGAACAAAGCTACATTAAAATGTCAAAAAACGTTTTTTACATCAGTTCTTCTTATCACATAGCAGTAATATAAGCTTATAATACAACACATTGACATTGATCTTACATTAAACTTTAAGCTACTCATCCCAATTTGCAAAAAGCTAGATCTGTGCTTGAAAATTTGAATTATATTCAAGATTGAACTTAGTTTCTTCTAGATTAGGATCAATTGATAATCCAAGCTACCCTGTTTTAACCTCGAATTTAGGATCATTAGGTTCACGGCTAATTTCAATTTTAATTGACACATCTGTATAGCCAAATGCTTGATGATTGGTTCCAAAACAGCTCCTCCTTTGAAAATTCTAGTTGCGCCACTGATTTGAAATATCATTGACAATAGAATTGTGATTATTTCAGAAATCTAGGTTTTCTTCAATGCTAAAAACTCTTGATCTTCCTCAAATCTCTCCAAAAGACCATCACTTCCTCAGAAAAATGCATTACTTACTGTGTTATCAAAAAACAAGTACATATCAATAACATTTTAGAATTACTATCATCGATAAAACTAAACAAATCAAATACACAACAAGACGCATCACCACATAACTTATGATGATGGTAAATGACGTAAATAATGAAATTCAAATTAAAAAAGATAAAAAGAAGTGAAAAAAAATCGATACATATCATTTATTGTTAGAATCTAGACGTAATTTAATCACAGACACACAAAAAAATGAAATGAAATAGAAGTAAAAATAATAATGAAACGAAAGATATTATTAAAATAATATAAATTTTAAATATATATATATATATATACATACATATCAAATTCAAAGATGAAGTTTAAGATGGAAAAAAAGTTGCATTAAATGTGTAAAATTTTGAATTTAAAAAAGAGATAAAAATGATATAAGAAGCTCTAGATGTCACAGAACGTATTTTAACCCCACAGATGAAGAAATACATATCATGAAAGAAATTTATGGTGTCCTTCCAAAAAAATAATATACTTAATGACGATATTGAAGAAAAAACAAATCTGACGATTGAGTTGAAAAAAAAAAATATTTATTAATCTAATTATTGAATGATGTTGCGTTCCATTAAAAAATGTTATGAATAGTCGTTCTTATCATTGTTATTACTTCCTTTCCTATTCCTAATCCTCAGTAATATGAGAGTCTTTACAGCTGCTGTTGTACAATTGATCAGAAAGAGTTTCTGCTAGCTTTGAGATTTTACTTTCAATTTACTTACTTCGATGGCCGTACAAATCAACAGTAACCCATTTTTGGTACACATCATGGCTCTATTGAAAGCTGTCCGATGGTCTTTTGTCATCTAAAATGTCGAACTATAAGCTGAAATATAGTTTGACATTTTAACTTCAACGACCTTCGACCAATCGTAAGTTTAAAGTCCTTTTTGAACAAGATCAAATTTAGAACCTTTCACAAATTTTATTTCGATTTCTTATTCGCTTTTTAAAGTTACAAAGTTTGCATCTCAATCGAATATAATTTCCAAATTCTATTCAATTCACTCATTTGCATTTAAAAAGAAGCAACTCATCTGAATCATCTTTAGGCAAACAAATCTTTTGCTAAAATGTCATTAGCAACATATGTCAAGTAAGAATAAGAAAAATTCAACATGCAAACTTCAATGTTGACTTACCTCCAAGCAATTTAACCTTTCATGATGCTGGCAGTGAAATGATTATGATGTTGATACATGATTTATGTCACATTGATGCGACAAAAAAATTGTTGAGGGTAATCAAATTTTCCAGAGATTAAACAGAATGTTTTGGAATGACACAATTAAGCAGCATACGTTTTTCTGAAGCAGCTATTGACTTCAGTAAGATTTCTGTTGATCTCAACATCAATCAGACTTGTGTCTATCCAACATGAGCCATTCATTCAACCTTGAACTACTGAGGTGTCTATAAATAACTGAATTCCTTTCAATCCCTTACTTTCAATTCTCATTTCTCCCATGAAATCAAGAGAAATTTATTCACATCCTCATTCTCCTTCATTCAAATCCCATTCATTCGAGAAAATACATATCAAATATCACTTATTGTTGTTCACATTTTCAAAATACACACATTCCACATTCTCTTAGAAAACGGAAAAAGATATCGTCAAATAAGAAAGAAAGAAAAATTATCAAAGTAAATAAATAATGAAATGTTGAAATGGAGAAATGGAAGTAAAATATGAGAGAATGAAAATAAAATGTATTATTATACAAACAAAAACAATTCAATTGACTTTTTTAATTAAGGAATGTCTTTTTCAGCATGAGTGATATGGTTATACTGAATTTTTAAATTTAAATGTTATCTAGTAATACACTGGATATTAAATTTGAAGATTGCAGCTCATTTATCATTAGTTAATCTCATCTGAGTAGGGTTACCATCTAGTTTTCATGAAAATACAGGACATTTGGTAAATTTTTTCGAAAAAAACAGGACATAGAGTAAAATTCGAAAATTAACGGAAATTTTCATGAAAAAAATACAGGACCAGGAACAAAATTTAAAAATTTATACAGGACAGGGTTTTGAAATACAGGACTGTCCGTTGTAAAACTACGCAGATGGTCACCCTACATCTGAGTCACTTCAGACACTCCCATTTCAAGTCAACTTCAAGTCGAACCTAGTAAACTTCAAGCTCTGTTTTAAATTGGGTATTTTTATTCAAAAGCTGTTTTAATATGTTATAACTTTAAAAAAATTAATCTAAGTATTTCAAATGACTCAATTTGAGTAATAACTTTAGTTATAACATTAGGTCAATTCAAGGGTAATAAATTCGAGACTTACTTAAAATACTAAGAAATGTTTAAAAATTAAACGAAGTCAAGTGGAAGAAGAATAGAGGTCAAGAAGCTGGCTGATGGAATCAGTGCATACAGTCTTGGATGTTATTTGAAATGCAATCGATCTTTATATGATGTTACTTAAATCTTACTAGGTACCTTACTGGCGCAATATTTAGTCGCTGGATGTGATTTATACTGCATCTTTATACTAAGGTTTTGAACATGATTCAGTACAGGTTGATATCTACAGTTATAATCAGGAAACGTAGTTCTACTGATTTATGATGGACCATTACAGATCTAATAAAGTTTCGAGCAATGTTACTGTTCTACATATGCAGGGAGTATATGTAGATGCAGCTCAAACCCGAAAATCTGTCAATCTTTTAATAATTTCAACATGTTTTCATGATCATATTTAAAACTATTAATGAAATTATCACTTTGAAGAATCTGTATGACATCATTACAGTATGTTTAAAATATTAGTCATATTTCAAATCGATAACAACTATCCCGATCAACATAATCAACAAGTTTTGCTTTTAATTTTAACTGATCTGCTGTTCAATCAACATTTGAGCATGTGAAAAACAAATTTATTTGCGAGTATCGATTTGGAAGACTCATGGAGCATAGAATCCATGCGGATCCCTTCGTCTACTTTGTGAAGCTCGGGAAGTATAACAATTTGCATTCATTTTATTTTAATTTAAATTTCATATAAAATCATCTGAGCTAGCACAATTCATTTTACTTCAGTTCTTAAATTGTGAAAGATAAGGTTTAAAAATGGAAGAATCAAATAATGTCAAACTAAGTGAACGAGAAATAGTTGGTGCTTATTCTGTTGATAGAAACGGACATTATATTGATGGGGAGAATTTTTTGTCAAACTTGAAATATCTTAAAGTTCCAAACTCTTTAAATAATATCAATTTAAATGCTGGAGAGTATGATGATGGAGGCGAAAGTTACGATCCAATGGAAAGACTTAATTTCATGACAGACTACATTAAGCAAAACTCGACAAAATTTGTTAAAAATGAAAGAATTGATGCTGATTTTGTATGCTTCCGTGGAGGTTTAAAAAATATAATGTCATCACCATATCTCGAAAACGACTGGATAGTCAAAGCTGTAAAGTTGAAAGAAACTATTTACTTTATTCTTGAATTAAAAGGATATGAAAACAAAAATGACATTTCTAAGTCATTCGGATTCAAGTTTGAGAGCTATATGGTAGCATCTAAACCTTATTTAGAACCTCCAGGTGCATCATTGCCTGTTTATAAAAGGGAAGAATTTTGTGTTCTCATGTCTCGAAAGGTAGATGATTACAAGATCTTATTTGGTGCAGAAATTGATGGAGTCAACAGTAAAAGTGTTATTGGGACTTTAGATGAATTAAAGACATCAAATTTGATTGAAATAAAATTAAGGAAGTATAAAGAAGGTCCAAATAAGTTGGATGCAAATCGTTCCATAGAATGGTGGTGCCAATCATGTATTGCATCAGTTGATATAATTCATGTTGGAATCCATGATCAAGGTGTTATCAAAAACCTTGAGACACTTCAAACAAAAAAACTCCAACACAAGTACAGCCCATGGAGCAGGAGTGAATGCATAAAACAGTTAAAAAAGTTATTAACCTACATAAAAGATAAAATGGAGGAAATTGATGACCCGAAAATAGGATTATCCTTTGAATGGAAAGGAAAGTCTAAAGAATTTGCAGATATCAAAGTCATTGAAGGCTTTCTTCCATTAAAATATATTGAATTCATCAACAAATTAAAACCTAATAAAGAACTTTAAATTTAGTGAAGTTTTTGAAAATCAATCAAAACTTCCAATTTCAATTTGTAATATTGAATGATATCGAAAATGTTTATTCTGTTATACTTGTTCTGAAAATAATCACCATGCATTCATATTAAACAATGTATTTAAAAATATGTCGCACAATAGAATTTTATGTAAAGAACCTGCCTTGAAAAATAAACAAAAGTTATTCATGACAAATATTTCGTATTCCAAAACGAAAATTTTATCTGAATCTTTATGTATATTTTATATTAATTCCATTAAATCATGCAAACATAGTCATACTTTAAGTTGCATATAAATACATCTAAATCTCACTAAGCATTATTAATTTCATTTAATAATTTGAATTGAGAAAGAATAAAACAAAAAATGACAGAATCTAGAGAAATTTCATTAAGTGACTCAGAAATTATTGGTGCTTATTCCTTAGATGGAGATAGAAAATATAAGAACGAAATGAGTGGCTTAAAATACCTGAAAATTCCAGATTTAATAAAAAATCATATTAATTTAAATGAAGCTGATTATAAAGATAAAGCCAAAAATTATGACACTTTAGAACGAATCAAGCAAATGACAAGTTTCATCTTGGACAATCCTGAAAGTGCTGTGAAAAATAAAAAAATTGATGCGGATTTCGTTTGTTTTCGTGGAGCTTTGAAGAACTTAATGACGACACCTTATAATAAAAATCCCAATTGGATATTGAAGGCTGTCAAACTTAAAAGTACAATTTATTTCATTATTGAGTTGAATTACAAAGACAACACAGGAATTAAGAAACCTGATGATAAATCATATCAATATGGAGTTATGTCCTATCGTCTGATCCTGAACAAAGAATCAAAAGGAAAATCTGAAATTGTGAATGAAAATGATGAATTTTGCATTCTTATGTCAAGAACAATCGGCAATTCTACGAAAATTATTTTTGGAATCGAAAGGGCCAAAAAGTCAATTCACTTGATGATTTGAAGAAATCCAAACTTGTTGTAGTTAAAACTAGATTTGATAAAGGAACAAAATTTACCTGATAATACAAAGCTTGATTGGTGGTGTCAATCGTATCTTGCTGCAATAGATAAAATTCATGTTGGATTCCGTGACGCTAAAGGATTTGTTACTGGTTTTAAAGCATTCAATTTATAAGAACTTGAAAATGATACCAAAAGAATTAATTGTCTTATTTTTTTGAACAACTTTCTAAATGAGGTTAAGGCTAAGATGAAGGATGTTGAAGACCCAAGAATAGTTTATTGCTTTAATTGGAATCTAAAACAGGAGAAAGTTGAGACTTTTTTGGGTCAAAGTAATGCAAAGTTCCTGCCTGATGACTATATAAATTTTGGAAATAATCTGATCTAATCATTTTTGAGCTTCAAAGGTGTGGAACTAATCAAAGTGATCTAAAATGATTATAATGAGATTTTTTAATATCGCGCTCTTGGCGAGCCTTCGATTAATTATGCTTTTGAGAGAAATTTGAATCATATTTGATATTCCAAAGTCGTGATTCCTTCGTCACATTGCTTATTTATTATTTTGCTAATAAGATCATCGAAAAATATTTCATATTTTTTATAGTTATTTTAATTTGTTTATTTGGCTTTTTATGCACACAAATCTAATGATAAGCAATACATACTAAAATACATTCTGTGATATCACGATTGTTTATGGGCTGTTCATTTAATAAGTAACGTCAAAAACTATATTTTCGACCACGTGGTCCATTTTTCACAAATTCATAATTCACAATAATTTCTTTTGTTTGAACAGTCATAAAATTTAGACCCAAAAGTGATACATAATAACCTAGTAACCCCGATAAGCTATTTGTCATCAAGCATCAAGTTGACATGAGTGATTATAAATTAAACGCCAAATAAAATTTTATTATTAGGAAACGACATTAATTAATGATCATTGAGTCATTGGCAGTGGCGTAACAATGAAGGAAAGATTTTTAACAGAATTAAATAAACTTTGGTTCTTCCCGTGCATCATGCATGAATAATTCATGTAGTGTTTATTTTGGCTCTTTAAAGTTGTTTATAAGCGATATTTTTTTTCTACAAGATATTCGCGAGAATCAAAAACAAGCAAAGAGTTTGATTGTGTTAGAGTTTAGTCATCATTCAGATGTTGATGGAATTAGACTTGTTTTCATTTTTACAAAGAAATTTTTCAAATATCGCTCATAATAAAAGTGGTTCTATTGGAAATGGCTCAAAATAATTTTGAGGAGTTAATTTCAGAACAACAAGAGATAGAATTGACAAATTCAGAGATCATTGGTGCATATTCGGTTGATCAAAATGGAGTTTATAAAAATGACCTTAGTGCTTTAAAGTATTTAAAGAAACAATATTGGAATGCGCCACAAGATGTAAATTTTGATTTGAAAGAAATTTACAAAAGAATGGAACCAATTGAAAAGAAGCCTCACGACTATTTGGAAAGACTTACAAAGTTAACAAGATTCATTCAAGAAAATCCTAAAAATATCATCAAAAATAAAAGAGTTGATGCTGATTTTGTGTGCTTTCGTGGTGTTTTGACGAATATTTTAAGGTCATTTTATGATTGTCTAGGATTTGTTTTAGAAGCTGTAAAGCTTAAAGAAACAATTTATTTAGCTCTAAAAACAAATAAACAAGAACCGTCACCTCATTTGACAATCTTTGAGACTTGTTTACTATCAACAGATCCAAAAGACGAATCAGCAGCAATAAAAAAGGATGAATTTAACATTGTCTTATCAAGAGAAATAAATGAGCTGAAAATACTTTTTGCTGCTGAATGCGATGGGATAATTAGCGTTGATGCTATTGAAAATATACATGATTTGGAACAATCAATGTTAATTGAAGTTAAAACAAAATTAGATAAACCTGAACACTCAAGCCCAACGTTCTATGATTACAACAAATTATATACCTGGTGTCAGTCGTTTATTGCATCAATTGACACTATATATGTTGGGAAACGCAACGATCAAGATATTGTGAATAGAATTGAGAAATTCGATCTTGAAACTTTGGAATATCCTAAACATTCCTCCAAGTTCTGGGAAAAAAATGATTGTTTAAATCGTTTAAGAGAATTCTTGCGGAATATTAAAGAAGATATGCAAGCCGTTGATGATCCACGCAAAGTTTTTTCTTATAATTGGAAGGAACGTCCAAAGAAAGGACCGAAAAATAAGTTTCCAATTTTTGCTGATGAACTGGATGATCGAGAAAATCTATCTCAAGAGTATATTTCATTTATTAATAATCTCAAGTAATTTTACATTTTTTTCATTGAAATGTTTAATTTCTTTTACTTTTTTGCATTTATAATACTTTTATATTGAGAACTAAGCTTTTATAAAAGATGTGAATAAATAAACTTTTCTCGAATTCTTAACAAATTTTTTGTAAATTTTGAATCAAGTTATTGAATACTTAAGAAATCTCAATCTCAATCGCAGAATTATATCAAAATGAATCAAACACAACATATTATCGATGTTGCATTATAATTATGTAAGTTTTTTATTAAGTTCAATCCAATTAAGTCAATAATTTGAAAAAAAAATAAATAAAATAAAAACAACAAAACAACTTAATATTCTTAAACTAAGCACTTCTTCTTATAATTTTTACATTTTATTACCTCAGTCACTAGAAATTTGAAAAAAATTAATTTTGAGCAGGTTTAAAGCAATCCACAAAGCCTTCCTTAGAGGTTGCTTAGAACTCCATTTTAACGGATCGGGTTACAAGCGACGTTTCACTTCATAGTTTTTGTAAGTTTAAAAATCACACTTATAAAGATCAATTAGATTTATAGAAAACTATTGATGCTATCGAAGTTGTAAATTTGTTTTTAATTACGTGTTATCAGACATTTAGCAAGATAAGTGAAATAAATTACTAATTAGCCGCTCCTTCTAGCTCACAAAATTTGACATTTCTATAGAAAAACGTAATTTAATGATCATTAGGATTTCAATACCGGTTTCAAATACTAGAAAATAGAAAAAAACAATCAATCCTAGTAACCAGATTACTTAGTTTGAATTTAGATCATCATAGTTTTATGATTTCAACTAAATTATTAATATTCTGGTTACAACTTAATATGGTTGAATATGCATTTGAAGCCCCTATTAAACTTTAAATAGTTTATATGTCATTTATCGGGGTTTCCCATTTCATTAATTGTTCTTTGTTTTATCTTTTTTAAAAATAGTTTATTATTGATTTTATTCGTTTTTAAGGAAACTGATAAACTATTAAATTCAGAGTTTAGAGGCATGTTGTACTTAGTCAAGTCTTTTTACTAATATTGATCAAATAAGGTTTAATTTTTGAAATCAATAGAAGAAAAATTTAAATTTTGAAATTCTTTAGAACTTTAAGTTATTCATCGGAATTTATAAGAATTATGGCTAAGAGAGAGAAAAACAAAACACCAACAACAGATCAACAAGAGATTGAATTATCAAATTCATTAATCTTAGGTGCATATTCGATAGATGATAATGGAGATTTTCAAAATGACCTCAGTGCTTTAAAATATCTAAAGAAAACTTATTGGAATACACCACAAGATGTAAATTTCAATTTAAAAGAAATATATGAAAGTATGAAGATAGATGCGCGACCTCATAATTATCTTGAAAGACTCAAAAGCCTAACAAGATTTATTCAAGAGAATCCTGAAAATATTATCAAAAATAATAAAGTTGATGCCGATTTTGTTTGCTTTCGTGGTGTTTTAAAGTATGTTTTAGCATCTTTTTATTGCCACCAAGGATGGATTGTTGAAGCTGTAAAGCTAAAAGGAACAATTTACATGGCCTTAATCACTAATTGCTTAATGGAGCCATTAGATTATTTAACAATATTTGAAAATTGTATTGTTACGTCTGATCCTAATAAAGACTCTGTGGCTGTGATTAAACCATCAGCTTCAGAATTTCACTTTGTAATGTCCAAAAAAATTAATGATATTAAATTACTTTTTGGCGGGGAATGTGATGCAATAATTAGTGACGAACCTGTAGAATCATTAGATGACTTAAGAAACTCGAAATTAATTGAAATAAAATCCAGAGGTGACAAATCTAGACATTATATGGATTATTTTAGAGACTACAAAAAATTACATTGGTGGTGTCAGTCTTCAATAGCTTCAATTGATAGTATTTACCTTGGTAAACGTGATGAAAATGACATTGTTAAAACTATCGAGAAAATCGATGTAGAGTCTCTGGAAACCCCAGAAAAATCACAAAAGTTTTGGAATAAAAATGTCTGTTTGCATCGATTAAGAGAATTTTTGAGAAATGTCCAAGTGGATATGGAAGATGTAAATGATCCAAGAACAGTATACCGCTATGAATGGAAGGAAAGATTTACAACCAATTGGAAAAATCAATTTCCAATGTTTCCGGATATTATGCAAGATAGAGGAATGCTTTCCGAAGATTACGTTTTGTTTATCAACAATCTGTGATTGTCTTTGTTGTTGACAAAGATTCCTTTCATTATTTTGGGTTTTCTTCTTTTGAAATCAATTTGTTTCATTATTTAAAGTTACAATCATAATGAATATCAGCTTTGTTCCTTTTTTCAGGAACAGTTACGAAATGATAAGATTATTAATTTTTAGTGGATATTGTAAGTGTGACTGTTTACAAATATGTTCAATCTATTTAAGATCAAAGATAATAAAAAGATTTTGAGGTAGTTCCTGAAAATATATAGCCAATTTAAGTTTAATATTTGAAAATTTATTTTTTTTAGTATTTAAAACATTTTGATAGATTCAGGACTATTAAATAAGAATACCAAAATGCACAATATTTTTGCCAGACAACCTTTATGAAATGCACACCAGTTTTGGTATAATCACCGGATTTTACAATTTTTCACAACTCGATCGTATTATCGCCTTGTCATAAATTGATAACAAATTTCTCCGTAATATTACTTTTTTCTTGCAGTCTAATAAATATTAAAGTGTGGAACGTGCCAAATTCATTGCCTAATCAATTATTTTGGAATTGAAACAAATTCAAAGTTAAAACAGGTGATTTTCTTAAGTTCAAATACTAGCCTTTTTTATTAGGTTTCCTGTTGCTTTTTTTTTAATTGTTTTGATAAAACTTTAATAAAGCAGATTTGATAAGCTTATTAATGATTAATATTATCTGTGGAAAAATAATTCTATTGCTTACATTTTGTCTGGCTGCTTGTGGTAATTGGTTTGTATTTAATAGTTTCAAAGAATTTCTAAAATGTTGTTTTTAAAATTATAAAACCTTAACCTAGTTGAATACAGTGGTTTGGCGAATCCTTACTACTTGAACTCTAGATCACATTGCTTGATCTGAAATAAAATATTTTTAATAGGAAAATTGCGCTCCAATCTTTGTAAAATGTTGAGTTGTAATAATTTTTGGACGGAAATACTAAATTTCTTGTGTAATATTTATTTAAAGACCAATTAATATATAAATAATGATTGAAAGTAAAGACAAAATCCAGTTGAATTTGAACTTTTGCTTCGATAACATTGGTTTCAATTTTAAAAATGTCTAAACTAATTCCTAAAAGAAATCAAGACGAGGTTGAGATAAGTGAAGAAACTAAAAGACCGAGAAGTATTGAGCGTACAGCAATCAGTTTGAAGAATGCAAATGCAAACAAGCTGGAAGTTTCGTGGGTTGGAATCTATTCAATGGATAAAGATGAATACAAAAATGACATGAGCTCGTTGAAATATTTAAAGCTTCCAAAGATAATTGATTTCAACTTAAATGAAAGTTCAATACAAAAGAAATCTTGCGGTCAAAGTTTTCTGAATCGTTTAAATCAAATGATCAAATTTATTGAGGAGAATTACGAAAAAGTAAAAAGTGAAACAAAACCAATTGCTGCAGATTTTGTATGCACACGAGGAGTGCTAAAGAAAATTATGGAGTTTAAATATTTTCCTGCTAACTTTAAAATGTATACCTTGAAACTGAAAGGTACTATTTATATAGCGTTAGAATATGACGATGCACAATTTCAAAATTTTGGACATGAATTTGAAAAACGGCTATTAACTTCTAACCCTGATAGTGAACCAGGCGAAACTGAAGGCAAAGAATTTTGTGTTGTGATTGAAAGAATTGTTGATGACGTTAAGATCCTCTTTAACGTTGAATGTGACGGAATTGAAAGTAATACTCTTGTTGAAGATTTCAATGATCTTAAAGATGCAACAATTGTTGAACTGAAAACACGAATTGACAAACAACAATTTCGAGATAATACGCATTTTGCATGGTTGATTCAGTCTCATGTTTCTGGTATAATTGACAAAATATATGAAGGAAGACGTGATGAAAATGCAATTGTAAAAAACATAATAATTCATGATCTAAAAGAGCTGGAAGATAAAGGAAAAGAACAAAAAGGATACGACTTAAATCAATGCTATGTTTATCTACGAAACTTCTTGAATAAAGTGAGAGATGAAATGATAAATGTTGTGAATTTTAAAGAAGTATTTGTCTATAGTTTCATTAAAAGAGGCTTTTATCAAGAATTAGATGAAATGAATTCTCAAATTGATTCACAAGTTAAATCCACAAATTGGATACCTCCTCCAACTATTGAAAATCGCGAGATTCTTCCAAAATCTTATATTGACTTCATTAACAAATGTTGAATGTTATTTGATCAGTTCATCAATCAAGAATGATGATCTAAGTTATCTTTAAGAATTTGTTGAAATTGATTCGATTATTAAAACTTTGTCATTGACATTGCATTAAATACAGTCCACTAAAGTAAAAATTGCCCATTGTGCTTTAGTTTTTCAAGAATAATATAAATACCAATTGAATTATTTATTTATTATATTAATAGTTTTATTTATAATGTTTGAAAAACATACTTTTTTGAATTAAAAGGAATGATTTAATCATAAAATATTTCATTTAATAAAAATGCTTTATTCTTCGTAGTGAAAATTATCAAGCTCGTCACTCTCGGACCGTCCAAAGTGATACATTACATAGATAATTAATATAAATAGTAAGAATGCAATTAATCCTAAGAACCACTTCTTGCGCCAAGGTGGTCGTGCTGATGGAGCATAGAATTGCCTGAAATATCCATAATTGGTAATTACTAAGTTTATTCATTAGAATTCGTGCCTTGTGCTTACCTAGACCATCTCGAAAATATTTCCTGTGGAGTCTTTCGTTTGTATTTATTGTCATCACGATCTGAATTCCTTCCATCTATACCACTTCTTAATAAAGGCCTAGACTCTATATTTAAAACTGAATGTGGACTTTCTGGACGAAATACTTTCTCTGGGACATTAGTTCTATGATATTGTGTCTGCTCAATATTGACTTTACTGTTCATGACTGATGAACTTAGATTATTGCTTGATGTTCCATTACTTCTTATTAAATCATCACGTGAAGCTGACTTGAATTCCTTTTCTTCGCTAAACTGTTAACATTAAATTCATTAGATAAAAATGTCTACGTTCACAGTTTGAGCTTACCATTGGCAGATTCATCTCGTTCCTTCCAAAATTGACTTGTGACAGCCAAATTCTCAAGGCATCAGCAACTGGTGAAACTAAATTTGATGATGGGAAAATGCAAGCATCACATTTTGGACATTGATGACCACTCGCTGCTGTAGTTGACGGAAGTGCTGACTGTCTTTCTTCTAGACACTTTTTATGAAACAAATCGTAGCAAATTAATCTAATACAGTCGTCGCTTTCTAAGTCTGTTCCACATAAGGAACATGATGAATCGTAGTCGGAATCTTTAAGCCATTGCAAGTATGACTGTATGACACACTGAAGATTGATAAAAACAAGTTAATTTAATTAAATCATTTGAAGAACTTGTCAACTTTACCTTTCTATGATTTAGCACTAAACAGGACTCACACACAGTAACACGATGACTAAAACAGAACAGATTGCTGACAACTCGTTTAGGACATTTGCACAAACCCATTTTAATTTCTTAATTAGAGCGAAATTCGTGATTTTATTTATTGACGTTGGAACTAGAAATATATATTGTTGTTGTTCCCCTTCGTTTCGTTGATTTCTCCTAAATTTTAAATTTTACAAAACCGTTACATTCAATGGGGTTATCAACTTGTGATGTGACAAAAATAACGAATATTTTTTGAAAATTTTACAATTAATTTCCCCTATCACGTAATTTATGGACAAGCCCAAAGTGATTTTGCAAAATTTACATCTCATTCAAACAATTTTGTTAATTATAGTGAGAAATACACCTTTTTAGACTAATACAATATGGTAAGCACAATCATCATCCTTAAGACTACAAGAATTGACTGAAAAACAGCAGAAAAACATTGATTTGAATATTAAACTCATCGTAAAGAATTTCATTAATAATTTTATGTCTATCATCCAAAATAATAGGGTCAGAATCATTCGTCAGGCAGCGGTGACAAAAAGGATGATAAGGATAAAAAGAAGAAATATGAACCACCAATTCCAACTCGGGTAGGTAAAAAGAAGCGAAAGCAAAAAGGACCAGATGCAGCACTTAAACTTCCCCAAGTGACTCCTCACACGCGTTGTCGTCTGAAGCTGCTCAAGCTTGAACGTATTAAGGATTACTTATTGATGGAAGAAGAATTTATCCGTAATCAGGAACGTTTGAAGCCACAGGAAGAAAAGAATGAAGAAGAAAGATCTAAAGTCGATGACTTAAGAGGAACGCCAATGTCTGTTGGTAATTTAGAGGAGATTATTGATGATAATCATGCTATTGTCTCTACATCTGTTGGTAGTGAGCATTATGTCAGCATTTTATCGTTTGTTGATAAGGATCAATTGGAACCAGGTAAATTTAAGATCCAGCTGACAGGATATTTTGATATTTTATCATATCTGGTCAGCTGGATTGATCTAATTTTTATGATGACAAGTTTTCATGTCTGGATGGGTCTGTGATGATTATAAGCACCAACTACCCTACTGAAAATAGCACAAATTCCTTTGTTCCTATACATATGCAAGTCATAACGTTCACTAATTTAATTTTTATATTTGCAGGATGTTCCGTTTTATTGAATCACAAAGTTCACGCAGTCGTCGGAGTGTTGAGCGATGACACAGATCCAATGGTAACTGTGATGAAATTAGAAAAGGCACCACAAGAGACTTATGCAGACATTGGAGGTCTTGATACACAAATTCAAGAAATTAAGGAGTCTGTAGAACTTCCATTAACTCACCCAGAATATTATGAGGAAATGGGTATTAAGCCACCAAAGGGAGTCATCCTTTATGGCGCACCAGGAACTGGCAAAACACTTCTCGCAAAGGCTGTTGCCAATCAAACATCTGCGACATTTTTACGTGTCGTTGGATCTGAATTGATTCAAAAATATTTAGGTGATGGTCCGAAATTAGTTCGTGAACTGTTTAGAGTTGCTGAGGAGCATGCACCGTCTATAGTCTTTATTGATGAAATTGATGCTGTCGGTACGAAACGTTATGACTCAAATTCAGGTGGTGAACGTGAAATTCAACGTACAATGTTGGAACTTCTCAATCAATTAGACGGTTTTGATTCTCGTGGTGATGTTAAAGTCATTATGGCAACAAATCGTATTGAGACACTCGATCCAGCTTTAATTCGTCCTGGTAGAATTGATCGTAAGATTGAATTTCCACTGCCTGATGAGAAGACTAAGCGTAGAATATTCAATATTCATACAAATAAAATGACTTTAGCTACTGATGTTAATCTCTCAGAATTAATAATGGCAAAAGACGATTTGTCTGGTGCTGATATTAAAGCTATTTGTACTGAAGCTGGATTAATGGCGTTAAGAGAGCGTCGCATGAAAGTCACAAATGAAGATTTTAAAAAGTCTAAAGAGAGTGTATTGTATCGTAAGAAAGAAGGCACTCCAGAAGGTTTATACTTGTAGAGAGAATAATTATTACTTTTTTTTCCTTTATTAATTAAATACACACATATTGCATAAATAAAAATGAACAAGATTAAATTTGAAAAGAATGGCAATTTCCTTGACATTTCCAGAAATAACGATGAAAAATATTTGAATTTTTAACGGATTTCAAAAATTTGAATTTAAACTGGACCAAAAAATTCAAAAATCACCAAATTTAAATAATAACGAACAATATTAAGAATGTCATTAATTACAGATATTTCAGCTAGTTCCAGTAAAGGAAGATACTATTCGAAATGCCATTCATTAGTTCTTGTGTGAAATCGAACTCGATAGGATAGAGAACAGACGGACTACATAATAATACAATTTAAAAAATCATAGTTTAATTTGGTGGTTCCTTTAATATAGTTTCATAATTTCTATTGACAATTTCACGAGCTTCAACCTCTGACATCTCCATTAGCTGCTTATTTATACATAATTGACATCTCCCAAGCTTTGCTTTACTGTCTTTCCTTCGTCCGAGGCAAAATCCAATTTTAAATCCATCCTCATACCCTGAATCGAATGACTTTTGAAATATTTTATCACTTCCATCACTTTTACCTTCTCGAAATCCTTCCTTAAAGAATTAACGTTCGTTTAAAATTTGAATTAAGTTTTCTCCTCACCAATACAATCATACAAAAAATTACAAATAAATTGAAATTTTACCTTTTCTAAGTTTTGTGACAATTTCTGATAGTTTTTCGCTGTGATTTCAAACAATTCATCTGTAGTATTATCTTCCATTATTAGGTAAGTTAAAATTATCACATTACAGTAGCTGGAAATTGCTTAAATTAAATTTTATTGTGATTTGTTTAACACAAAAAATTGTAAACAAAAAAAATAACCAAAAAGATATTGTTTTTATTTCCATAAAAATCTAGTGCCTGTAAACATGGCAGCGGCTGATAATTCAGAAGCTATTATAGCAAGGATCATCGAATTAGCAAAGACCAAGCAGAGTGGAATATCAAATGATGACATCAAGACATGTTTCGGTGAAATTTCAGCAGAAATCCTTCAAAATGTCAATAAATTAATACAATCACAAGTCCTGGAAGTGCTGAAAGGCAACTCAGGCACTCTCGTCTATCGATACAAAGATCCAGCAAAGAAATCAACAGTCTCGGCTGATATGGATAATGATGAACGAATCATTTATAATATTATCGAGGCTGGAGGCAATACTGGAATCTGGGTAAAGGAAATAAGAACAAAGTCTAACTTGATGATGACTCCACTAACAAAAATACTCAAAACCCTCGAAAATAGAAAGCTAATTAAAGCTGTAAAGTCTGTGAATGCTAGTAAAAAGAAGGTCTATATGCTGTTTGAGCTGGAACCAGCTAGATCCATTACTGGCGGTGCTTGGTATCAAGATTCTGATTTTGAGTCTGAATTTGTAGATGTATTAAATCAGCAGTGCTTAAGGTTTTTACAACAGAAACGAGTAGAAGCAAAGAAGCTAAAATTAAGTCCATATGAGGTACAAATGAAGTCATTATGTACCGTTGTGGAAGTACAGGAATTTATCAAAAAGTTAGGAATCAGTAAAATTGAATTAACTGAGGAAGATCTAGAGACAATTTTAAAGACAATCGTATATGATGGGAGAGCACAAAGAGTTCTACAAACGGACGGATCATACCTTTATAAATCAACAGACACGCTATTACCGGCAGAAGGAATCGTTCAAAATCCTTGCGGCATTTGTCCCGTCATTCAACATTGTAGTGATGTAGGAAGTATTACCCCAAAATCATGTGTTTACATGAGCGAATGGTTGGAATGAATAAAGTCTCTCAAATTTTAAATCCAGGCATGCGCACTTTTAATTCACTTTTCCGGGAAATTTTCTTCGTTTCTCTCGCATTGGAAAGCTATCACATGGCTTTGGCTGTTCCATAATTACTCGATAAGATCTTTTATATCGATTTTTTTTCAACTCGTTTGGATGTGCAATTTCCATTTGGGGATGTTCATAAATGACGGAAATTATAGATTGAAATTTTTTGAACCACTTATTCTGTTCTGTGAATTTGAAATTTTATTTTTTATTAAGATGATGACCCCAAAATTAAACAACATCATATATGAACAGCCCTATTAGTCGGCTATAGAATTATTATTACGGATCATATCGTAAATTTTCTCTGCTAAATTAGATTTGAATTTATGATTACTTCCTTGTTTTCAGATCGTTTAATTTGAGATTATTCATCTTCTTAATGACTTTTATTAGCTCCTTGGCTTGTCTGATCTACTAGGAGCTTCCTGCATCAAACTTGTATCATATCAATCTAGTTTAAGTTGGTTTTTTACTAACCTCAAAACTATAAGGCTTCATTAAAGTTCATTTTTCCCTCAGAATAATAAAGTATTCAACTAAGCTTACTAAATGGCTACATTATGAAGAAACTCGAAAAATTATTGAAAAATCTTATTTTTCAGTGTTGCGATACAAGCACATGTTCACAACTGTAACCCGTACAATTCCTTGATAAGTTGTATGGTTTCCTTAAAATTTGTATGGTTTTATTAGAAAAACCTTACAAATTATCAAGGAATTGTACGGTTCTCACATGTGCACAGGTGCCTGGATCGAAACCCTGTTTTCAATTTTCTTAAAATCCATAGAAAAAAGTCAAAACAAGCTTCAGTCTATAGCCTACAGACATACCAAACAACTAATATTCATAAAATATACAGCTTTTATCATGCAATTCCAAATCAAATTTCACAATTGCATGTCAATTAAACTGCTTCAATGAGTGTTCTATTGTTCTGTTGATTTAATTGGATATCCTTAATTATATTATGACTTTTAACTCGTTTATTACAGTATAATGACTCTAACGAAGCACACGCTTATGAAGAAGTAAATGTTGGGTCACCACCATCAGCATTATCATCGCCATTTATCATAAAACTCATCATTGATGATAATTATTTTTGATTAATTAGTTGCTGGCTAGTGGGCGAGCAATGAAAAATTGCGTTGTTTGCGAAAATGGAATTTTTGATAGCTTTTGGGGGTTGTATGATTTTTATGGGTGGATTTAATGAGCTACGATTTGATTTTGTCCGCTTCTTGAATATTTGAAATTTTAACGGTAATTTCAAACGCTTAAAAGCAGTACAATTTAGATTTGGGCAATTCTACGAAAAGGTTTCATGAAAATAATCCGTGTCAATTGCATGAAAAATTTTAATTATTTTATTTTCACTTGTGCATAGTTTTTCAAAAATCTAATTCTCATTTCCTTTTCTATTGATTAAACTGTGAATTATGATTACATCTGCACTCAAAATACTTAGCTATGGCTTGAGAAATTCATGGTTTTAATTTTAATATTTGGTGGTTTTGTTTTGGAATTGTCTCCAAATTACTCTGTTTCACTAATGAAATTTTTCGTAGAATCCAAATTGCAGCTTAATTAAGGCTTCCAAAAATATGATTTTGACATCGTTTTGAAGCTTTTACTTTAAGTTATAACTTTGTATACTTAGTATTACTGGAAGTTTTACCACCTTAAAGATTTTTTAATGAAAACATTTTGGAAACTGGGCGAAAAAATTCATGTGAAACAGAGTAATTTTTCGTAGAATGTAAATAATTCTTTAATTAACCATTTTTAATATGTTTGGGTGAGAACAACATGTAGATCTCGGTAAAATCTACTATTAAATACATGAAACATAGGGAGTAATGCAACTGATAAAGAGAAATATAGATTTGGAGACAAATTTGTAGAAAAAATCATTCGTAGAATCGCCCATTTGTAAAACTTTTGTATAGTTTTTGTTCATTCAAATAAATTTTAATTTTATGGACTTTAGAAACCTTACAAATGTTCAACAATATCAAACATTTAAAAGGTCTTTGAATTCAATTTCTTAAAAATCCGTTAATTAATCAATCAATTTCCAATTCAAAAATTTTCTTAAAAGAACCCAACTCAATAAATCAGTCATTAATGACGCAAAAAAAGTGAACAAAAGCAGTCTATTCATTACAGTTAGCAACAGCAATTAACGAAACCTTTATTTTTTGCAAAGAACATATTTCATTGACTAACATGAACCATACCCTCCATACAATAGAAGAAAAATGCTTAAACTACACGTGATAATTTTCCTTTTTATTACTTCCAATGACTTTTCCCTCCTCCATTTCCCACAATTGAGCTTTCCATCGACTTCCACAAGACTTGTGTTTCTGGAACGATTCTTTTTTTTTCGCAAACTTTCTTCAATATCTAGTTTCTCTCGTTCATTTGCGCTAAAACGTCAAGAGGAGTCGGTCAACACGTTCAAGACGTCTGGCGAGAAAAAAAAAGAAAATTTTAATTTTCTGTGAAAAAAAAGATTGATTTGGTTTTAAGTGCTTGTGGAATCTAGGACTTATTTCCTAACGAGATCATAAAATAGAATAAAAAATTTAATGTCTTTTACATTGAATGTGCTTGTGTCAATTACATAAAGTCTTCAGCTAGGAGTGAATGAAAATGATTTAAGTAAGTGTGAAAAGTTTCTCATCTTTATGTAAGTCTGTGTGCTCTCTCTCACGCAAAGGAAAAGAAAATTGCTGCAGTGCTTGAAAGTTTTTTTTTTATGATAAATTCAATTCCATGATTTTTGCATTTAAATAAATTCATTTGAAGGTGATTTAAATTAAATTTCTGACTCGATGTGTAGCTTGTGTGAACATTAAATTGTGAAGTTTGTGACATTTTAAATTGGTGAATATTCAGGAAGAGCTAGTAAAGTCCAATTGCATTTGTCTGTCATTTTTTTTCCTCTGCATTTTAATTCTTTCTCTTTCTTGCTGCCGCTCACACATTCTTTATCTTCCCTATTTTACTTTCTTTCTCTTTCTTTCGCCCGCTCGCTCCTCCAAATAGAGTTTCCCGATTTTTCTTTATTTCCGTGAGTGTTCCCAGTTGCGTTCGAAAAGAAAATTGAGAAGATTTTTTTTTTTTTTGGGGAGATTTTGAGCATTTTTTGTACTTTTTATGAAGGAAATACTTTATCATACCTAATTAATCTTCTTCCGGATTATTTAAGTTTGAGGTTTTTTCGGTTTCTCTTTTGAATATTGCTCAAGTGTTGACAGCGGTAGGAATTTTCTAGTATTTTAATACCTTTTGTAAACATTTGATTGTTAAAATTGCCTCGTTTTACGTTTTGGTTGAATTTTGAGGTAAACTTTTACTAGAAAGATCAATTTTAAACCTTTTAACGGTTATTTAATTTCAAATTCTTGAACTTATTCAAAAATTTTACTCCCCTTTTCATTGTTTACAATTTCTGAAATTCATTCAATGAATTTGTAAGCAAAAACGTCATAAAAGCCTTAATTTAATTATTAGAAACATTAAAACAAGTCAGAGAAGTGTTAAAGCTACTAGTTTCACTCCAGAACTTTCCAAAAATAGATAATACGTCAGCTTAAGTCAAATAAACATCAATATAAATAACCATAGCATCTATTTCTACAAACTTATAGTGTTAAATGTAGCATCGAAAGTCTAAATATTATTGTTTACGTAAAGAAATAAGAAACAATCCACAATATTTGATAAAACGTTCATTTGTTGAATTGGCTTGATTGGTTTCCAACAGATTAAAACAAAAACTTTAGAAAAACAAAAGATGTGCTAGATTTACTTTGTTTATATTTAAGTTTTCTTCTGATTTAGGTGATTTAAAAGATTTTATTACAAAAATAATGCCTGTAAAAATAGAAACGTATCTCTGATAGATTGAATAAATGCTGTGGGGTTTTTTGTTGAGCATTTTCATTAGAATTATTGAAAGCCTTTCAAAAACTTATTCCTACTAAATTGGAAATTAAATATTAAGGGTAAAATTGAGTCAAGAATAATTAAAAGCTGTCAATATAAAGTGTTATCTCATTCCAAAGAATATTAAATGAATTTAATTTCAAAATTCCTAGAAATTCAGTCAATTGAGTTGAACTTCACGCTAAACGAATTTCGAGGAACTCAATTTTACATTCATAATAAATATTCATTCCAATTCATTCATTCTGACAAGCAAAATTAAATAATAAATGATTTTGAAAGCAGTTTTTCGAATCTCTAAGCTTTTTCTTATATAAAGCTACAATCTTACCCCTGCTCCAACATTTTAGTTTGCCAAAATGATAAAAACTTAAGAGAAAAGAAGGAAAAACTTTCTTGAGAATGAAAATAAAATAAAATAAAATCATTCTCTAGTCTCTTGATATCAGCATGCTATACATATACAGTCTATATCCATACACACAAACAGAACTTTCGCGAAGAGAAAAAAATAGCATAGAAAGAAAAAAATTCTGCAGGGACGACTCTTTTTATTCTCTCTTTCGCTTTCGTCCCACAATATTTTTACTGTTATGCCTTTATAGAGACAGCAAAAACCTGCCAGACAAATGGTGCTGCGTGTGAAAATGTTGTTAATACATGTATTTTTTTTTGTATTTGTTGGGTCAGCGATTTGCTATTTTTTGTGCCTTTTTTTATTACATGAAAAATCTGATTAAAGGAAGGGAAATGAAAAAAACAAGAAAAAAGCTCCTCAAACAGAAAAAAAATAAATCGACATTTACAACAAAAGGGTTCATACAAAAATATAAATAAAAAGAATTGGAAAATAGAATTGCCAAATAATCGTGCATAAGTGCATGGAAACAATTTTAAGCAATTTTCTTCAAATAATTTTCCAAAAAAAAAAAACTTTTATTTCAATTTTTGGAAATGTGTGTCAGTTGAAAACGTGAAATTTAGTCTAAGTTGAAACGTGATATCCAAATTTTAAACATTCATGAAGTTTTTGTGTATGAGTTACATTTAGTCAATCATTTTTGACGCTTCAAGACATTTTGAAGAGAAATTGTCAAAAGGATTCAAGATTTTGTAAATATTTTGGAGTTATTTCTTCTCAGATGTCTTTTTGGTGCTTGATATGCTTCATATTAAAGTTACTTAATGTTATTTTGATTCGTAAAATGTTGAATTTGTTAAAATAAATGGAAAAACTTCTTTAAAGGCAGTTTAGATAAAGAAATAAATTAGATTACTTTTAGATGTTTGGTTCTCAACCTTTTTGCACTCCGACACATTTAAGAGCTTATCTAAAAACTCGTTCAAGGTTTAAGCGAAACTGTAGGTGATGTTGAGTATATTTTGGGAAGAACTGGTAAAAATCTAGTGTCCAATGACTTAGAACTAGGCGAAAATCAGTTTTGTTAAGACTAGAACTAGTCAATGTAGGTTTGATAAATTCTTTTATTAGATTAAATAGTTTAGTCGACTAATGCCAATAGTCTTTCGTAATTCTTTTTAACCGATCCGTGTCGACATTTTTTCACTTTATATATATACTTTAAGATAGTAAACTAAAGCTTAAATAAAAAAACTGGAATCAAATAAAGTCAAATTGATAAAAAAGATTTCATTAGAGTCAAATTGACTAGAGCTTTGGTAATACTAGCTTTCTAATTCTTAAAGTAAATGAACAATAACAATCAACAATAACCAATCGATAAGTTCTCAGAGTCTCTTTAAGAAACTATTGGAAACTATTGACAATTTAGAAAATAATCAAACACTTTAAAAACTCAATCTACAGATTCACTATTATCCTAATCAACGGAAGTCCTTTATCATTCAAAAACTCTATCTCTCAACAAAATTGTCATTCGATTGCTATGGAAATTGTTCTCGATTTTCAAAACGATTGAACCGTAAATCATTCACAAAGAAACAAATGTCCAAACAATTTCAAAGTTAGCTAACGATGCAAAAATTGATGTTTCTCCATCAATAACTCTGTTATGTAACTCAATTTATCTCATTTTTCCGAGCACTTCACAGTTTATTCAACTTCTTTCGAGAACCTCATTTTACAGAATAATCATCAAATTTCAACGCTTATTTGCGGATGTTGATTTCATGAAGCTTTTAACAGCTTTTCATCCAAGAGAGAGTAGTCTGTGTAAACAGAGCAACGAACATTTCATTTCAAAGTAATCGCAAATATTGTTAAAAACAAGGAAAACATAAAGAATAAATTTTTAAGCTATCCCATGCGGTTAAAAGTGGTCTTTTGGTCAAATGCACAGGCACTTAATGGATATTTGATTGACAAACAATCATAAAATGGAAAATGCCTTCAATTTCCAGGGTTTTATTTGTTAAGAAAATATTTGAACAAAAAAGTTTCAATTTAAAAAAAAAAGTTTAAAATTCAATATTTACATTAAAAAGCTCAATTATTGTAGGACTCTATACCAAAACTACACCTGTTCTCCCCTTCGTAGCTATAAAAATACAGAATTTTTCAAAGTCACAACTTTATCTGCTCTATTTTATTCATAAAATGACCTTTTTGAACGAATAAGTTTTCATAATTACTTCTATATGCTGTTATCTTTATAAATAATTGAAAACTATCCCTTACATACACAGACTGTGTATGATTTCAACTGGAATTATTTATCCTGAGCAGTTCCATACGAGTTCATACGGAGAAATCATTAAAAATTAACCTCAATGTTTACGGAACCAAATCACAATTGATGTACTGAAAGGAATTGTTTAAAAGTGATGCCTGTTGTTTTAATTATGAGGAGACGGATGCTGTCTCTGAGGAGGATATTTTCAGAGAGGGTGGAGGGGGGGGGGGGGGGAGGGGGGGTCAGGTATCTTGCAGGAATCGTAGTTCTTCATTCTACTCAAGAGGGAAAAAATATGATGAACTCAACAAGCAGAGGGCGTAGAAAATTTCAATAACATTGTCACCAGCTCAGCGTAGAGCTTCCAACCAGACCCACGCCAGCCTGATGAAAGTGTTTTCGAAATTTTCTAAACCATGTCTCATCAAGTTGTTTTCCCCTTGATTTCTTGACTTCGAAAACCTAAAACAAAAGATTTGAAAAGGTAAAGGGGAGTACATATGATGAATCTTATTTTTGATAGACTCGTGCCTTTGCAATGTGCAGAGCTAGCAAGTGCTTCAGATCCCACTGTAAACTGAAGGTCTTTACAAATTAAATCGCATTGCCTCCAGCTGAAAAGCTGGACCCTTCACACATTATTATTATATTTATAGACGTCATTCACTTATACCCCCAATAAATATTATGGACTCTGAATATTAAATGTCGGATTGGGTCGAAAAAAGAAGCAGTTTTCCTTATCTTACAAGAAACACGCTTGAATGAAACGAAATTTCCACAGAAATCATATTATAACCTCAAAATATCCCAGAGCTCATTCAAAAACATTCAAAGTGAGCTGTGAAGAAAGGATTCTGAAATTTTTCTCTTCCGATAAACTTTTCCTTTTTATTGATAAAACAAAAAAACCAAAAAAAAAAAAAATTAACGAACCTTCCTCGAAAAAATAACATTTTCATCTCGAAGCAAAAAAAAGCTTTTGTGTCGCCCGACAAAATTATGATAACGATCTAGACTTTGATGAGATTTTCCGCTTTCACTTTCTTTATTACTTTATGTCGTTTACATAAATCCAAATGTATTCGAATATGACACACACAAAAATGCGATGACTGTGAGTAGAAAATGAGGAGAAATTATGAAAGTTTATTGTTTGAGGGAAATGAGCGCAGTTAAGGTTAGTTTAAGTAGTGTGATTTTGGAGCAAAGTGGGATTCAGGGTATCGAGGCATATGTAGTCAAATCTACAAGTAAATATAACTGCTGGCTTTTTTATATTGTCAAATATTCATGAGAATTTTTGATGAAAGTTTTCTCGGAAATTTATAACAAGAAAATGGAGGAAAAAAATCTATTGAAAGGCCAAAACGAGGAATTTTATAAGAAAATTTAATTTTGAAAATAATTTTTGATTTTTTTTTCTCCAAAACTTGAAAGAGAATTTTTTTTAGAAATAAATTCGCAAAAAGAAATATTTTACTTAAGAGACTTGAAAGAAACTTCCAAACAAAATACGTCAAACTGCCAATTTCAGACCCACTTCTCACAGAAATCTCAACCAAAAAAAAAGAAAAGAAAAATGTAGCATCATAAAATGCAGAGTATTTGGGATGGAACACAAATAAAATAAATTACATTGTATAATTTCTCGTCCAATGTTCTCTCATTCCTTGAACTTAATAATAGCATACTAAATATTGATATAAATGAGACAGGAAATGATTATTGAAAATGAACATTTTTTTGCGTTTATCATGAAAGTTTTTGACATTTTGTACGTCCTTAATTACATTTTGTGGTTGCTACACAATAGTAATTTTATATAAATAGACTTAATTTTTGTTTTTTGTAATTAAATAAAAGAGAGAAAAGAACTTTTGTGTTTATCGTAATTGATTGCTACTTTACCACACACATAACCTTTGAGTCATTTTGAAAAGACAGGTAAATGTAGAGAATGATGCTGGAAGACACATGTGTGTGTGTTCCTCATTCATCATTCACCGCAAAAGTTTTCCTAAATTGCTTTGTTTCAAACTTGTTTAAAATATATTTCATGAATTATGTATTGTTATTGATTTTTAGAGATGAACATTTATGTAAATTTATAAACAACTAGAAGACTCATCACACTTGAAATTCTCAGTTATTCTCAGCTTTGGGGATGTTTATGCAAATTTATATAATTTTGAAATGGAATTTTTGTTGCCAAAATGACGTAAATATATCCTGTTGTTAGTTAAATATAATAGTTGATTTAATATTATTAAAGGTTATCCTAATGTTTTTATGTTTAATGTTTATCGAACTGTTATGATTATGACAAAATCTCTAGAATAACCTAGATAATTAATTGTCTGTGAAGAATTGGATGAAGATTGAAGATGTTTTGATACTTTTTCATTCAGTATTTTTGTCTTTAAATTGAATTTTATTAAAAACGACTGTAACGTAAAAATTAGTTTTAAATCTTTTATGGCCCAAAGAAGTTGCATGTCCCATGTTGTTGTTCTTATTATTTAGTCTTATTTTGAAGTTCATACAATCAAGATCAGCGAAAACTTACTTTAATTTAATTATTAGATCGATAAACATGATGTTTACAAGTTACAATAATCTTCATCTTAATCGAAAATGAGCATTTGTTTTTGTTTGTTTATTCTTAGTTGAAGAATTTTCTGAGATTTAAATTTTTAAGGCTTTTCAAGTCGACTTTTAATCTAGTTCTTAAACAAATTTATCCTTATATTAATCTCTATACTCATTTAATGCCCCAATTCCCTATCTAAATTGAAATCTTCAATTTCCTTTGAGCATTTTCTACCAATTCATTATTCAAACATTTGCAGTCACAAACTCAAAAGCAATTCACAATAAAATATGCAATGGCTGCAAGCAAAACTCAATCTCAAAGACATTCTTCAAAACTTTTCTCAATAAATCTTGCAGCACCCACTTCAAAGCTCAATGAAGTCATAAACAAATGAGCCTAAGAGATTGTGCAACATCATAAATCAATTTCTTCATGTTCCAAGAGTACTTTTGCAGCATTTTGATACACTTAGCCTGACTTTGAAGGATGTTGAGTAATTTTATTTATGCAAGGAAATTTTTTTAAGCAGCTTAAGTGTCTTCAAGTGTTGCCTTGTTTATCAATGTAGGTGGAATTTATAAGCTCATAATTAATATAATTTTCTGAGATTTCCTTGGCAGTGTATTGAAAAATTATGTAATTAATTTAGGGGGAAATTCCAAGCCGTTTGAAGGATTAAAATTAGTAAGACGGCAATTTGTTTCTTGAATTGGGGGTTAGATCAGTGTTGTCTAAACTTTTTGAGCCATGGCACACCTTAGGGGTAAGTAATGGCCAAAGAAGCACACAGTATGCGACTCGCTTCATTTCCAAAAAAATTTCTACGGTAAACACAAGTGTGCCGCGACATACAGTTTGGACAACACTAGTTTAGATGATGTTTTTAGGAATTTTATATGAACGAGTTTTAATTCAGTTATTCATGCTAAGGGGTTTGGGGTATATAGACGTGGCTATTAGAGTGTTTATAAAGTTGATAGACTTAGATGAAGCTGGTTTATGGATTGACGAATCTAAGCAAGTATCTTAATTGTTGAGTGGCAGAAAAATTTCACTGAGTGGTCCGAGATTACCTCATTTGAGGACACGAGTTCGATCCTTATCAAATTGAATGGTTTTATATTAGTTTCCACATTCAGCAATTATAATATAGTCTTTTAGATTTGAGGTTCATTTTTAACAGGCGTAAATTATCAAAGTACACAAATCAAGAACTCTTCCTACCTAAAACTCATTACGGCAGCAATTTCTACCTCCCTTAAATGCCAACCAAAAAAAATATCAATTCCGGCCTCAATTTTATGTCATTTATGGAAAATTGAAATTATTTTTAGACTCATTCCTTTCAAGCAATAAAAAAAGCTTTCAAATCCACAAAATATACGCATGTAAAAAGCGAAAATGATTGATTATGTAATTTTTTTTCCAAATACATTAATTTTTTTGAGAGAGAAAACATGTCTTATGTATTTTAATATTTAAATAAGTCACGCCAACAATTTCATGTTATTAAATTTTCATATTTTTTTCTCACCAGGTGCGCTTTATTCGAGTAAAAATCAAAAACAAAACAAAAAGGAAACAAAATCGGAGCCAGTGAAGCAAGCTCCCACCGAAGATTCTCAGTAATAAATGTTATATTTATAAAAGTGAAGGTAGTGATATATCAAAAACACATAAGAACTCTCTCATGTGAGTGATAACTGTCAAGTTGAATAGACTTTACCATACCCTAAGTACGGAACAATAAAATAAGAACTTGTCAAGTTGCTGAAAGAACATTTCATAAATTTCAAAAGAAAAAGGAAAAATTGAAAATAATAACTTGTACAATAAACCGCTTGTGCTAAAACCTAAACCTAAATTGATTAAGACGGAGGATGAAAACGAAAACTTTAGAGGAAACAGAGACGGAAACAAATGAATCATATACAATAACTAGCACGATCAATAAGCAAATAAATAAATTTATGACGCCACCGTGTGATTTATTGACATGGAGAGACATGCCGAGTCACCTGAAATTCAATCCATATGTGCATACAGGTAATGATCCTTGGACGTGGCTTATTTTTAAAAATTAATAAAATTTCCGCATTCCTTTCTTTCTTTGCCTTCACTTTTTGGCACATGACACAAAAAAATAACCTTGATGGATTCAATTAAAAAAAAAAAAAAGGCTACCGGCCATTACAGAATGTCAAAGGATGTATAAACAGTCTCTTTTACATGCACAATGAGACAATAAATATTCTGACTCATGGTAAGTATCCAAATACATCAAATGAATTTTAAGATCAAAATTTTACATCGACCATAATAAAAAGAGAAATTTGGGGATGGATACGACGAGCGGTTATGAATAAAATAAATTGCAGAAGCCTTTCGGGGTTGATGGATGGGTTTAAACGTGTTTCTTTGTAAGTGGAAAAATATCAGTAATCGGAAAGGAAATCTTTTGCGATTATGGCTGTAGAAAAAGCATGTGGTTTGTAGGTTTGAGGTTTGATTTCAAGATTGGAGTGAGATTATAGGTTGGATAAGGATTATAAAGATTTTTTGATGTGTATGTGATCCTAAGGTTTCAAAAAGTTGAAATAAGACTAGAAAAGGAAGCCTAATGACTACAAGAGCTAGTATTTTACTAAGCTTAATAGAAAAGAAGTTGCTATCTGGTCAGTACACATTGAGATGCTTTCTTCACGATGGTTAAGCGGATAATAAACTTAGAACTAAGCTGCAGCCGGTTGACAACCATTTCTCGCAGATGCTAAGTAGTTTTCTGGTGACTGCTGCTTAGTTTTAAGTAAACTATCTGATTTGTTACTGTGTGGACAGCATTTTACTATGTAGCTGATGTTTCTTTACTTCCTGGAGTGTTTGATGTCAAAAGATAGCAATTCCTAGCTATGTTATGTCAGTTATAACAGCCAGTAATCTAAAGGAGACACCAAGATAATTCAAAAGTGGAAATCCAATGCTTAAACCAGCATGAACTGTTAAAATGACAACAATGAAGCTCCTCAAATTACTAACAGAAGTAAATAGAAAGTGACAAACTAGACTAGACAAAACCACAACTACAAATTCAAGGACAATCAGCATAAATACCAACAAGCAATTCCCATCTTGTAAAGCTCCTTAAAAATCATATACGCATATTCAACCCACGCAATTTATGCAAAAAAAAACCTTTTTATACATCTACATGTCATTCAATGACAATAAGCTTCCCCCTGTCAGTCCTACCAATCACAAATCATTTTAAAATTTGCCCATACCTCCTTATTCCTCATATTTTTGCTAACATGAATATTGGATTTGAGTGACGAAAAAGCTTCAAATTTATGCTCACTCAGCACAATGAATCTTAAATGTCAAGAGCAAGAAATTTATGCCATTTGATTTTTTTCATGAGAACATCACAGAGAGACGAAAAATTTCTTTATTCATTGACAAAACATGGAAATTTTTCTAGTTTTATGGGCACAAAAAATCACAATTTGAATATACAATGAATTCGCTATAATGCAAGAAATTGCTTTAAAGGATATACAATAAGACAATCTTTCGTTTAGATTCTTTTTTTTTTGTGCCTCGGTAGGCGAAAGTAATTTTTTTTGTCGTTCATGCTTACTGATAAATGTGTATGATGGGGGGAATTCATAAATGATGTCATTCATGAAATTTTATTTTGGACACCTTTATGTTCTCTTTTATCACAGGGCAACAAAGTTCTAGTGACCATTGGGTATAATGAAGGTACTTCCTAAGGTATAACTCAAGTTTGACTAGGTTTCGCTAAGGTGTGACATTTTAGGTTACAAAAGCATGTCACACAGACTTAAAGATCGGTTTCTCCTTAAAGTCTCATGTATAACCCTTTGAAACTTAAAGTATACATAGAGTTTGGTTTGAATATAGCCAGAACCGGTTCGAGTATATCTATTACTAAAACCCCAAAACCACCTTATTTTCCACAAACCCAAAATATCATTGATGAATAACCCCCTAAATGCTATAGAACATTCTCGACACAACGAACATACAAAAAAATAAATACTTTTCGTAGATAAAAATCAAATGAAATGGAAGTGGATGTTTATATTATCAGTCAGCGACTGAATAAATCTAATTTGAATAAAGTTTAATCGTTTTACAAATTGTTATCGTATATTCTATCGCCTATTCGGTTGATGATAGGCTTTATATTATGTCTATTTGTCTCTGTGACTGTAAATTGGGTCAAAAAAATTTGTTAGACTAAATGGACTATAAAAAATATTATGTCATGTACGATGTCGTAAATTGAATTTTGTAAGAGATCAAAGATAAAGTTCGTGAGAATGATATTGATGTGCTTAGGATTTTTAGCTTTTTGGAAATATGTCACGTATTGAAGGCAATGATTTTGCTCATGTTTAGAAATTTTGTAGACCAAGCTAGTAGTGTAAGTTTCGTGCTAGAAGTTAAAAGTTAATATTGAGTTAAATTTTAGTCGACTAAGTGTTGAGACATGTGTGAAATGGACCATTTCCAGTAGCTTGTTGGCTCGTGTCCTTGAAGGTTTAAAACACTGGTTAACAGGGATTATTAGATTCTTTGGTTTGCACATTAGATGAGTTTGCAAATTCATTGTAACGTCCCCAGGCTATTTAGTATATCCCATCCATAAAGTATGAGAACCAATCGATACCAATCAAATAAAAGTTACAGTAACACCTGAATGCTTATCAAATTATTGGAAACTCTTGTTTCGGATTCAACTGTCTAAAAACCACTGAAGTATCTCAAATCCTATTATGTTCAATAAAGATCATAAAAGTCTCACCCTACAAAACTCAAAAGCCTCTCCCCTATCACAAGGGAAAAAAAAATCAATTCATGAATATTCATTAACTCAGTAGAAAATCAGGTTGGCTTAACAACATCCTCAATTGAGTATTTATATCGATCAGGCAAAATCTCAACCATCATAATTTCTATTAATATTCACTCAAGTGCTCCATTATGTCCCCATAAAGGAAGCATTTTCATGCTTTGTATATTGTATTGTTAAGTAAATAGACGAAAATTTGCTTAATCTTAAATAAATAAAATTATCTTAATTTCATTTTTCAGGCGGGAGTCTCTACGCTCAATAAAGGAGCATTATCATTCATTTATTTAACTTAAAAACCTTTAGTATAAAGCTGTGCTGTGGATGGTTTACTCTATCCATTATGATAATTTATTTATAAATAAATAACATGACATTAATCTGAGATATACATCCATACAAGTATAATAATGTATGAATTATCAATTACTCGCAAACCATAAAAGCGGATAAAGGTCTTCATAGGATAATATTATAATTATTAAATTCATGAATCTCGACATGAAAAGTGGACTGATACGAAATATAAATATTTGTGGCTGTATGTGTCAGTCTACAAATTCAATCTTATATAATTCGATTTTCGGTAGTAGTACTTCAATCTTCAAAAGCTCACTCAAGCCAATCTACTTTATCTTCATATTTCTTGCACGTTCAGATCAATCTTAGTGATCCTTTTCCAATTTGATTACTGAACCCTCATTTCACTTTACTAATCAAGATAATTTTCAAGAGCAATGCTTAATATTGAACTTTGTATTGATGCTTTTGGATCAATAATTTGTAGGGGCATTTGGATGTTGTGGAATGCTTGAATTCATGCTAAATGAATGGTAATTGACTTAAAAAGGTCAACCTCTAAACTTATCAAATATCAGACAAATTCGAGACTTCAATAATAATTTCAAAGCAGTTTCAGTCTCGTCAATTAATTTTTGGGTTTTGGAAGAAGAAGCAGATCTTGAAATAAAAGTTTACGAAATTAGGTGGATCTAAAGAATCCACAACAGTCTTGAAGTTTTGCTTGAAGAGTATCTAATGAATCTAATTAGAAGTTTTTCAATTTTTTAAGCTTATTTGTGTCTATTAAATTTACACGAATTAAATAGCTTTTTTAATTTATGGTTTAAAGTTAAACTTCAGTAAATTTCGAGTCTTAGACTTATTTGACCTTATCATTAGATCGCTATTATTCTATCGTAAGTTGTTGGGTTTACAATCACAATGCGTATTTATTAATAAGTTTAATTAAAGGCTCTTCACGGATTTAATTCAATGAAAATGATTCTTTATCCTTCAGAGTTTAAAAAACAGACTTTTTTATCTACGAAGGGGCTGACAACTATACAAGGGAAAACAACTAAATATAGTTGCAAATATAATTTAAATATTAAACGACAGTTGATAAATTTTCAATATCAATTTTAGCAAATTCCTGTCACAAAAACATAATTCAGACTATAAATCTAATTTTCCCACCTTTCAGTATAAGCATTAAAAAATTATACTGACTAGCTTGTCTTAAATGTAAACATTTGAGTCTCGAAAAAGACATAACCGCAACCAGTGTTGCATTCTGGCTATTTGTCTGGATCAGATAAATTCTGAGACAGAAATTTCTTCATAAAATCGATTCTACATGTAGAAAGAAAAAAACCATCTACATGTAGATTGTGTCTACATGTAGAATCTGTCTACATGTAGATTTAATGTAGATGTCTACGATTCTACATTCTTCTCTGATGTAGACCTGAAAAAAATGTAGAATTATAGACATCTACATCGAATCTACATGTAGACAGATTCTACATGTAGACACAATCTACATGTAGATGGTTTTTTTCTTTCTACATGTAGAATCGATCTTTATGAAGAAAGTTTCTTAGCTAGACAAAAACTATTGAAGAATCTACATTCTTCATCTAGTGTAGACATCTACATTTGCAACACTGACCGCAACACGAGTGCCAAAGTGATCGAACGCCCAAATTCGAGTGGGTATAAAAGTCATCTATTTTTAAAAATATAATGAATGTGTCAATAAATATCTTCACAGTGCCACGTGGATCAAATAAAAAAAAATTACCACGCTTCATCGATGGATCAGTTAATTATTTTCATAAACATATCAACTGAAGAAGTAAAATTACAAAAATAGTTTGCCTTAATACTCCTTAATAGTAAAATAATTAATTAATTAATGAGCAAAAGCTGTTGGAGAGAAAAAGGCTTGGAAACATAATAATATAATTTGCTTTTAAGTGCCTCACCTCCATTAAATATTGATAAAATTTTGTCGCTTGATGTTGACGTTAAACAGAGGATGTTAAAATATAAAAAATAAATAAATATCGACCCTTGTGAAAGGAAGTGTTCATTTTAAT